TGGGGACCATGACTTTTGATTGGGGGGATGTTGGAAGATGATCTGGGGTGGGGTCCCGGTGAGTGTTTGGGGAGTGTCAAGGGTTAGGTAGGATTGGAGTAAGTTGTATTGGACAGGAGAGGGTCTAACATGGGTTTAGGGGATCAGGGGAGGTTNGGGGGGGGTAAGGTATGGAATTATCTGGGATGCCGTAGGGGTTGCAGTCATCTTAGAGGGGAGAAAATTTGTTGGACAAGATGGTTTATCATAATTCATTCATTGGTTTTACAGTAGGTTTAACTCCCCCACCCCTGAAGACACATTTGAACTCTTCCAATTCAAAGGTTTATATATTCCATTATGTAATTTCAGGGGTGAATGGGTTAAAATCTAAATTTCTCTTTATTTTCATGAAACAGATACTTGTTATGTGATCTCTGGTCTGTTTGAATTAATTTTGTAATATTCAATGTATGTAATATTGGTAATTTGTTTTTTAGTTTAATGAATATTACTGAAACAATTCCAAACAGTAATTGCATAAATTATATTTGGAAACATACTCCAGACTATGACTAATATTACTGAACAGACATTGCCACTATTAAGAAATCTCCGATCCTGATCAGTAAGTGTATTATGTATCTGTAGTTATACCTCCATTGGTGTGTACAGGTGACTATAACGCCTCATTGACTTAATTAGAGGTGAGATAATTACAGTTCCACCAAATTTTGGCAGACACACCTGCACTGAAGTTGTCATCTTGTATGCATGCATATTACAAGGGTATTGAGGTGGGTGGGGCATTATTTGAGTGTACAGGTCTGGCTTGTGATCTAGAGTACATGTACAATGTAGGTGTATATCAGTTTTGGGTTGGGCAATATTTATGTTATGTATGTACAAACTTTAACAATGTATATATGGTAAGTATAACAAATTTGATACTTACAGGGGAAATCTTACGACTTAAATAAACATGTATATCTGTTTATGATTGTGAAGATAAAAGATTACTACATACTGTTGTGCGCAGTGATATTTGAACAGTAATGCATCATATCTGATTTAAAGAATTTTTAAGTTACACCTGCATGTTTACAAACCTGTGCAGGTGGAATTCATTAATAGTGTAATTGGGGTACTGATAGAAACCTACGTAATCTAAACACGGGTATGGAATAATAATAAACTAATTTAGGTTTCTTTCATATGATGCTATAGCTATAATACCTTGTTATACTGTCACAATTAATTTGTCCTGCAAAATTTTGATGTTATAAAAGGGTTTGATGATATATTGAGGGAATTCTAATCTTTTCCGCTTTCCATAATGACAGAAAATTCTACATTAGAGCAAACATTTGACAACAACATAATATACATGGTGATTAAATCTGAAGGGTGAATTTAATATCGAGCGAAAATGGATTTTACAATTGAAGGGTGAAAATGTCCCAGTATACACTATAATATATGTTATAGGGATGTTAGTTATACATATTTAGGGAAATCGGCCAACAGAATGTGCAACATAAGCTTAAAAATTCCTTTGCAGCTAAATATTTAAGCTATTGTTATTTTGTCAATAAGTGAGTCGATTTTACCTGCACATTATAGTGTTCCAGTCTACGTAACTGTACAGATGGGTACCTGCTTACTGGGAATTTGTCATGTGAAATATTTTGATATTGGCATCCTTCCAGGGGAGAAAAGATGGCATGACTGATTCATGCCACTGCGCTTGAATAGATATTATAGTTGACTTTTACCTGATAACATGTAAATACCCTAAATTTACGTGCAAATTGAACAAGACATCAGAGAAAAGGCCTGAAGATGTTTGTTTTTTTGTGATTGAAACTATTACGTTATTTTCTTGTCCTGTAAAACGTGTGTTTACTTAATTTGTTCAGATGTAGAACTATGGCTGTAAACAGTTTTATTGACTCCTGCATTGAATTGGAATCAATTTGGACGGTTGATATCACAACCTCCATAAGATAAACAAGAGTGAGGTGAGCACCACATTACCGTTTAGTCAACATGCCCTGATGTTTATTTGCCTGTGTTTATTGGGCAGTGCGGCTCACTGTTGGCTCTGATAGGTGATAACTACTGCAGTAATAGGCCTTTGATGACCAGACTGCGGTTTGTACCACATTTATAGCCCGGGTCCGTCCCTAAGGAAAGTCGTGAAATTTATTGAGTCATACAGGTGAAAAGCTGTTACTGATGTGTTATTGAATGGTTGATGCATGCTATATAGTGTATTAAAAGCCTGCAGTGCAGCCGACAAAATGTTACAGCTCAATAACTAAGCAATAGAAATACAGCAAGATAAACAGTTTTGTCATAAATCCACTGACAAAACACTGTTTAACTCATTCACCCCTGAAGACACATTTGAACTCTTCCAATTCAAAAGTTGGAATAGTCCATTATGAAAATTCAGGGGTGAATGAGTTAATACTGTAACCTAATGTGTTCTTTATGTATTGCTTATTCATACAGATCTCCAACATTTCATTGTGAAAATATGAAGCAAACTAAATTCAGTGAGATTTGAATTTATAAACTTTGGAGGGACTGGAAACAAGTTTGATATCTTTTTATCATATGATTGATTACTTATGTAAATTAAAATGTAATTTGTGAAACATAAGACTACAAATATAAAAATAACCGACAAGGATTTGTCAGTCCTTATGAGCTCATGCACCATGTAACGTTATTGTAACCTGTGATGTCAGATCTAGTGTGTAATTAAGTGGTATCCACTTAATGTCACAATTATATATATTTATATAAATTTCTGTTAATGTCATGCTTTCTCAGAACACCATATTTTCTCGCTATATGCATGTAATTTTAGTTTGTTTTATATCTTGAACTATGCATATAGCAGAACAGATATATAACAATAGAAAATGCAAGGATTATATGATAATATTTACAATTTCACTGAAATTTGATCAGTGTCATTTTGAGGCTTTTTTCTCCTTCCTCGACTAACATGAGACATACCATCCGAAGCAAACATTTTAGTGACATAAGGCTGTTCCTGGAATCTGAATGTGAGGCAGGATATAGACTATAATTGAGCTAACGACAACTACAGGTTGATCTAGGCCTATTTGATCATGTACAATCATAAGGCACATAAACCGGAACTTAGCAAGTGTTTTAGCTGCATATTTCAATGAAATAAGAGGTAAAAGACGATTATTTCACTGTTAATTAATAAAAAGCCATGTAAGTTACAATAACCTTTACTAAACCATCTTCTTGATGAAATTTTATCACCTGGGCATTTAAATGTGGCCACTTTTGAGTTTTGACAGCTGATAAGGTCAGAAAAACATGTTTTGTGTTAATGTCACATTCTGGTTTAATATCATGTTTTCCTCTGACAAAAAACGAAGTGATATTTAGGGAAATCTACTGTATATAGTTTATATACATATCATATCATATAAAAGTGTGTCCAGCACCTGGGAGTAATATACAGTATGGGCAACATTATTCCATTTTCAAAATGTATGTATATATATATACATGCAAATATGAACTGTATGTACAGTTTGTTAATTCTGTTGACTGGAATCAGTTTCTGTAAAATCAATGTATAATAATACAGAATTAGGTAATTTATACAATTAATTACACACATGCATACATAATTGTCTATAGACAATTGCCTTGCATAAGCACCCTCATTGATTCATGTAACTCATTCTACAATTATTTGACCACAAATTACGGGCTCTGTACGTGACTATGCATAATTAATAACATTCATTTATCAACTCCATGAAATAGACAATTATCTCAAATCAATATCATTATAAACTTCACTACAGTAAAATCCTCTTTATACTGCCAATCATTTGTCCAAAACAAATTAGCGATGTAAAGGGGGTTTGGCCATGGATTGAGGGAGATATATAAAGGAATTTTTAAGAAAGTAAGAAAAAGGGGCATTGAAATATGTTGGCAGTAAACATGCGGCAGTATATTTAGGGTTTGCTCTATATAATAAACTAGGAAACTCATTTCAAAATTCTTTGTTCAGTATTAACCCTTTCAACCCTATGTCACTTTAGTAGACTCTACCATGCATTGATCTGGATGAGTCCATTATGGTCTACAGATCTAGAGGTGAAAGGGTTAAACTTAATACCCTGAATCTGATGTCTTGAATTATAAAACCTGTTCAAGTATTAAATTAACTGTTGGCACCTTGCTAGGAGAAGTACTGGTAAGTGTTTTATTGAAAATGAGTTATTCCCCCTGTTTACTAGCTGACCCTCCCATAATCTGTTTAACTCGTTCACCCCTGAAGACACATTTGAGCTATTCCAATTCAAAGGTTGGAATAGTTCATTATGAAATTTCAGGTGTAAATGAGTTAAAATAATCCTTCGAGGATAGGAAAGTGCAGTACTTTGTGCTTTCTTTAACACAAACTATTGCATCCTTGCCTGATAAGTCTGTGGTTTCATTAATCGAGTTGTATGAATAATTTATACTATAAATTAGCCATTGGATATATAAATTAAACAGGTATATTTTGTGTGTTTACTTGCTACATTCATTTTAAGACTGTTTCAAGATTACAGCACCATCAACTTTTACAGGTTATATTTTCTGTTTAATTTTCAATTTAAAAATACTGTTAGGCTTGAAGCTAGGTTAGAGTCAGGGCAGCAGTCGCGCCTAACAAACTCGTTAACAATTCAGTAAGCGTCGATGTTTTTGCATCTTACTACAGTCCAGGACTACAACTTAGGGCTCTTCTGGCACTCTCTGGCAAGCTCATCGTAAGATCAGCTTGCAACAACCTTCTCGTTAGCTTGGATGATAAATATTGGATGATGCCGTCCTTGATTCAGCTGATTTGTGGCAAACTCACCTGTACAGGTAGACCCCCAGCTCACCTGTACAAGTGAAACAGATGTACCTTTCTACACCAGTGCAATATATGTTAATGAGTGGATTTTATTTGTGTTTTTCAGGCTGTGATGTAAATACAACTAGAGCATCTTGTTGGTCACTGAAATCATCTCCAAAATGGTTATCTTAGGAAAGGTAAGTCCAACAGACCTAATATCTGCCCGTTATTTAATGGTGCTTCCTGACACTGTCAGTTGTACCCACGCATCAATGCACTCTGACTGTTCTGCTTCCCTGGAGAAAAAACGCCAAACAAGGAACATCTTCAACATCAGGTTTTTATAGAAGGAGGAAGTGAGATCGTAACTGCCGAGTTAGATAATCTTATAATTAAATATCTTGTGAAAAGACACTTTTTGACATTTTTGCCTTCACGCAATCAGTTTTTGAATCAGATATTGACATCCAGAATATTTTTAATTTTTCTATGTATCAGTTAACCCTTCACCACTGTACAACATAATGGGCTCATCCAGATCAATTGTATGGTAGAGTCTACTAAAGTTACATAGGGGTGAAAGGGTTAAAAAAGATTTTATATAATCAAGCTACAGTACATATTATATCCATATTACATTTTTTTTATGATTGCTGTATACATTTGTTCTGCATCCAGCCAATTACAAATTTGTGATTCGGAGTAACCTGTGCTCAAATTGCTAAATAAAATCTAATGTATTTCCACTTATGATCGCCCTTATACATGTGATATATCATTAAATATTCCTTTGACATAAATGATGTCTACACATGAACATGCTTGCATATTTCAAAATATAGGTGAAGAATAGGTTATCGTCACTTACTATTATCTGAGTATGCTCCCCCATTTGCTATCATTAGATTTATATGCTCTGCATTAATTTTATGAATTGTAGTAACAAAAACTGGTAAAAAATATGTATGGCGATTTTCGGAGGAGTGTGCCGATGCTTAAACGAGCGGACATTTAATGTCCAACAAAGTAAATACAACAATGTGTCCTGCCTCAATATACGTGCTGTACATTCGTAAGTTTTGGAACATTTGCCTCATTTTGGCCAGCTCTGAGCTGTCTGATCTGTGAATCATTAGTGACATTTTATATAATAACGCAATGATTATCCATTGTTCTTTGTTCTGCACCGGCCCCCAGTGGGCAGATCAATCTCTGGTTTAACATAGTATTTTTGTGGAAAAGTGGAGCAGCTCCAAAAATTTTAAAATTTTAATAGATACTGGCTGGACATGTACCGTAGCCCTTTTGCAGAAAGCAGGAAATGTTTAAGAATTAAAAATTAAGTGGACATTGTCAAGCTACAACTTTCCTGCAGCTAAGCACCTGAAGTGAAATTTAAAAAAAAAGTTCATCAGCTTGCAAGTGTTTGGATTTTAAACTCAAGAATTATATTAATCTTACGATGCTAAACATATTTTCTAAACACATGTATTCCAATTTTGAATTCATATATTAGAAAGTCAGCTGCAGTTTATACATGGATACATGGTACTGTTGTAAAGTTGAAATTGGTACTTACATGAGCGTCAAGTAAAATGATAGAGACGTTGTCGATCCATCAGAGTCATTAATTGAAGGTTAAAAATGATTGATGTTGACCTCAGTGTCGTAATCTTATGAGATGCTTCACGATGATCGCACCAGATGTTTACAATTGTAACTTTGCACTATATATAGTACTTGATTATCGCAGTTCCCGTAACATCTGGGATCTCAATGTCTCTGTCATTGACGGGAAATTATTGAATCCCATGCAGCCTCGTCAACAAATCAATTATAACGTTTTGTATTCATGTTGAATTGGAGCTAATTGATTAAGTCTGTAAAATTTCCCCAATCCAATCACGATCTCACAAGCTGGTCATGTCGCTAATAAACTTCAACAAGACACCGCTGGCTGAGCCCTAATTCCTGTTTAAACAACAGTGATAAGCCGGACCAGAGAACTGATAAGACCAGAGTGTATGACTGTAATGTACAGAGGGCCACGAAGGCCGACCTGATGGAAACGGTGGAATTCTAAAACCTCTGTATATGGTCAAAAGCGATAAGTTATTCTGGATAGCTTTGTGTCGTGTGTGTGGTGTTTGCGAGGTGTTCGCATGCCGTACACGTTCGGGTTTACCTATACACATTCCATTATGGGCACTAGTGATATTTCGGTGGAATTAGCTATGGAAATGCGTAATATATTTGTGTAATTACCGTGATTTTAGTTCTGTGATAATTATTCAACCATGGTGAGCATTTATCCGCACATGCAAGTCAGAGTAAGTATCTATTGTTCCTTAAAAGGTTTACTGTCTGAAATAATTCTTCTTCTTTTTTCTAATGAATCAAATTTAATTTGTCCTTTGGGCAATTGTGTAACGTACAACTGTAGTTTGGATTATTACTCGACCAAAACGAAAAAAAATAACAAAAGTTTTGCTCGCAGTTTCTGTTTCTGTAAGCAATAACTGCAGCAGATTATCCAAAATATATCATTATCCCAGTAATTCAGTTTAAATAAATGAATGAAAAATATTCCATATTTCTGCATATGATAGATCAATTTATTATCCATACGAAACTGATGAATCTAATATTCCGACTGATTAACTTAATGTTTAATGTGCTCATTTTTGTGTACATCACAGATTTTGTAAAAAGAATTTATGAATTACACCTTTACGAAAACAGCACTCTGAGACAAAGTAAACATTAATTCTGAACTCTGACATTTTGATTATCCAGTTCATTATATATGTAATGGTAGTTCATTTTAGCTGGTCCTTAAAGGCAGTTACAAACTCCATCAAAGACAGCACTTATCATCGTGTTTCTACGTGTTATGAACAACTTCAATATAACACAACGTAAACCCTTGATAAAATTCCTCTTGTTTCACTTACTGCCATTATAACTCAAGGTCAGATTTGTACTGATTTTGAAACACTTCATCTTTATGTATATTTCTGTATATTGTAAAACCCCATTATATTGCCAAAATGCCCATCAATTCATTCGGCACCTCACTTACTGCCAACTTATCTAATAGTCTGGTTTTGACTGTTTTTGTAACACTTTATCTATATACCCTTCTCTGTATATTGTAAATCCTTATTATATTGCCAAAATGCCCATCAATTCATTTGACACCTCACTTACTGCCATTAAAATTCAAGGTAAGATTTTTACTGATTTTGAAACACTTCTTCTATATGGGATAACTTGAGTTCCCTTAGGTTGATTGAACTCAAACTTAGTACACATATTGCAAACCAATATAGCTTGATCGTACAATTCAGAATTTCAGAAATTTACGTGAATTTTCGTGGAGTTATGCCCCTTTTAATAAAGATTTTTTTTAAAGTTTTTTTTTCCTGGTTTTGAGATCTTCCGGGGCCCCATCTCTTCCGACTATTGTTTTAAAGGAAGCACCAACATTTTAGTTTTTCCTTGCTTGCATGGTAACGGGTATGGGTCTTGCTGGGTATAAAAAGTGCATTACCTGTCAAACTGGTTATCATTCTATAACTGACCGTCTTGGATTCAATGCACCCTGCACCCTGATAGGAAGCCGATATCAAAAATCAAATGCACTAACCGCAGAGCCAGTAAAACAGATATTTGCGACAGTATAATCACAATATACGTCCGTAAATCTCAAAACACAGTAGGGTTATCCCCTAAATATGGCACATTTTTCGAAATTGTGTTTCCAAAATAAAAGGTATATTACTGAAAATGCTTCAATAAATCCCATATATATCATTGGTCTTTCACGTACTCTAAGAACTTCACCAACACACAAAAACCTTTATTATGAACTCTTAGTCTTCGTCGTCTGGACGCCTTACCAGCAAAACATGCTCAAAATGCGACAATCCCAGATGTGTAGTTAACAATGTGAAATTTGATAAATGAACTGTTTTCATGGAAATAATTGGAATTAGTATTGTTTTCACACAGAATGTTATTACTGGTTGGATATCTTAAAGGCATTAGCTTTAATCGTATTTTTGTTTCTTTCAGGGTCATACATTTGTTTTGTTTTTTGAGGAGAGGGGAAGCATACATGGATTGTGCATTAGTTATTTTAATTGGTCGTATTTTACTAATATTTTTTCTTTTCTTAGATAAATGATATCTTTGATGTGTTCCATTTCAATTTTATTCAACATATCTAATAAAAAAATGTTGGTTCAACGATCGTGAAAGTGTTCTATTGATATAATATGGTAGTGAGACCTTGCGCTCATGTTGAACAAATGATAATCGGTTTGACGGGTAATGCGCTTTTAAATTTTATTATTATTTTATTATTATACAGTATTTGATATATAGAGAATAATACACGCCTTTTTCCATATCACACCCAGTATCAACCCGATACTGCAATATCAGCCCAAGGGCCGAAGGCCCAAGGGCTGATATTGGTCGAGGGTTGATACTGGGTATGATATGGAAAAAGACATGTTTTATTCTGTGTATTACATACTTACTAATAAAAACTACTATCTTATGATTTATTTTTATTTTTGAAATATTGAAAAACGAATTTTTTCCCAAAAAGGGTGTGATATGGGTTTTGCGGGCTGATACGGGTTTTGGGGTGTGATACGGCTGGGGCTGATATGGGTTTTGGGGTGTGATACTAGTCCTATGCCACTTGGCTAATATATATATCTCCCTATGCAACATCCACCCCAGACCAATTTATACTCCACTTGGGTTGTTGGAGTTGTGTGGGCAGGAGAAAAACACTTAATCTGAATATATGCGTGGAAGGCCGGAGTGTTAACCACTCGACCAATCTGCCCATATATTTATACTCATCGGGACCCATACTCGTTACCAAGCAAGTAGGTTCTAAAATGTTGTCACTTTCTTAGATTCAACAGCCGGAAGATATTGTCGCTGGGGAAAATCTCAAAACCAGAAAGAAAGGAAAAAAAAGTTTTTTTAAAATCTCAATTGAAAGCTTTTTAACTGTATTCGGCACTGTCAGCTTTAAGCTTCTTTGAGATTAACGACCTGATGTCATCTGAATAACCTTACACACCCGTGTGTACAGGAACTCATTCCTGCGGAGGACAGTAGCCCCCATCTGTGTATCAGCAGTCCGTCTCTTACATGTACGTACCAACAACACTGGTGTATTATGTATGTGTTGAGTTCTCCCCTGATGTTTATGATAATTTAGATTGGGGTTTTTCGTTCCTCCATGTTGGGGTAATTATGACCTCCTAAAGTGATTTTGACCCTCAAATTAAATGCTTGAGGCATATACCAATAAAGGGATCAATGATATGATGCTTGATTTTACCCCCAGTGTTTATGTTTATGAAAAATACTGATATTGACTTTTCTTCGAATTGTAACCTTCGTGTATATATAAGTTAAGGGATGGTCGAAAAATTCAAACATGAATATTTACAACCAGTTAACTCATTCAACCCTGAAACTTCATAATGAACTATTCTAATCTTTGAATTGGAAGAGTTCAAATGTGTCTTCAGGGGTGAATGAGTTCAAGAGTTATAGGTACATTTGACATGTAAGACACCAAAACTCACGATATAGAGTAAGAATTTCATCAACATTTTACCCATAAGTATTGTGTAACCTATACTTAGTATGAGATTAAGGCCAAACAATTACTGGTGTGGATAAACCCCAGATACCTGGGCCTGACGACGTTACAGGTGAGACTGACGAGGCTGGGCGACCATGTGGTTACCTGGAGCTGTACACCCATCATTAGTAACACCTGGTTAAATCTGCCCTAACAGCAACTGTCATTACCTGGACAGGTGTATTACTAAACACAGTTGTTGTGGACACATAGGCAGTCCACTTACCTGTGAAATATCTACCTGTCGTTATCACAAGTACCCACGATAATATATCGGGAATTGAGATGGAGGGAGGGTGCAGATCCTGATGCTACTGTTTGTATTTAGCTACTCTTGCTACACCCATTCTGTCATGTCTCTGTTTGTTAAATTTTCTAGTTCAGAGCGAATCTTCCAAGCCAGTGGAGATAATTTTGCGAAACATGGTCAACAGAATATAAATACAGGCTCGGTTTTAACTTTTAAGGGGCTCTGTCCCACTGCAGGTAAAACAGTGATAGGAAGTTCCGTCATGGGTTTTTCATGCTTCAAGTACCTTCCCCTTAATTTCATTTGGATGTTAAACGGGAGCACAAATAACTTAGTCTGAATTATTCTGATGTTTTATTAACTTTTTTTATATCGGTCTGTCGTCGATTTACGTCAGAACTCCGGCCCTCTATAAAATGCGGGAAATAAGCGACCCACACCCGAGTTGCACTTCAAACTGATATTTTAGAAACAAATCATCACTTTCACACACATGTCGCACATGGATCGAAAGATCTATTCTTTATGCACAAGATGAACATACATTGTTTTACTCTAGTTTTTTGATAGCGATCGCCTTCTAATGCCACGTGACTAAAATCTTGCCGGCCTACATCATAACGTTGGGAAATACCTTTAGTAACGCGAGATCTCGTCAAGTCATGTGACATTGCTCATGCCCTAATTTCCATTAAAATCATGGGTTGGTATAGAAAACATTGGAAAATTCCTGGGTACTTCAAAGTAACCCTTTAACAAAGTAGCTCAGTTGGTTAGATTGACAGTATAATGATAATAGGTTCAAGGTTCAAATTCTGATCTTGCCACGCCATTGTTTTTTTACTAGTCACAGAAAACATTGTTATTGATAATATTTTGTACTTTCTTCATTAATGTTTCCCAAGGTACGGCTATCTTTTCAGAAATGATTTATGAAAGCTTATATAATGGTCATACGTGAAAAAATGTTTCTGAATAACGCATTGTTACAGTTTGGATAATAGTGGTATGGGGAACCTTAAAGAAATAATAATGTACAAATGTTTTACTGTAGAAAATTAACAACTTTGGTATCCTGGAGTTTGTTATAAACCTGTTTTACTGTAGGGAACTAAATACTTTGATTCCCTTGGGTTCGTTATAAACCTGTTATACTGTAGGGAACTAAATACTTTGATCCCCTGGGGTTCGTTATAAACCTGTTTTACTGTAGGGCAATCATATTCATTGTGGAGTTTAGGGCTTTAGCCCCCCCCCCCCCCCCCAACAAAAACAACAACAACAACAACAACAACAAAGTTCAAAATTACAGTCTCAGCGATGAGGAAAAACAGCTTAGACCTGCTTTTTCAGGTCATTATAAATATCAAATCTAAAACAATTCTTTGCACCTAAATGTTTACATCAAGTTAAAGGACAATATACTTCCACTCTTTGAACAGCCTACCTCTATAGGTCCTTTTTTTAAACGTTCCTATGCCTCCCATTTAAATTACTCTTGATCATTTACACTATAGTTCTCTGGACGGGCAGGCGTCACTTAAGTTTAAATGTCCACAAACAACGTTAGCGACACCCCTGTTGTAACAGTGAGATTTGTGTCGGATAAGGAGCTGGGAAAGCCCCACCCCTCCCTGGGACAATTACTTCTCTCCAGTCATGTGCAACCACGAGGAACAAGGAGACGTGCTTCTTGTTTTTCATAAAGACTGAGTGAAAATCAATCATGCGTCCTAGGTTTTTGTATGTTTTGCTGATGTATCTGTTACGTTTCTTGTACACATGTTAGCAGTAGATACATTTTATGAGAATTCCTGAGGATGAATGCTAGATTTATTGGAACAGCACACTGATATTGACGGAATAACACTCAGTGTTCATTATGACTTCACTTTGTGAACACTAAATATATCTACACAATGTGTAATTCATTTTAGGGCTGTGATACCCAGAGCTAGTGAATACGATATTTAGTACATTGGTGTATACAATATTTAGTACATTAGGGAATACGATATTAAGTACATTAGTGAATACGATATTAAGTACATTAATGAATACGATATTTAATACATAAGTGAATTCAATATTTAATACATTAGTGAATACAATATTTAGTACATTAGTGAATATGTTATTTAGTACATTAGTGAATACGTTATTTAGTACATTAGTGAATACCATATTTAGTACATTAATGAATACGATATTTAGTACATTAGTGAATACCATATTTAGTACATTAGTGAATACCATATTTAGTACATTAGTGAATACCATATTTAGTACATTAGTGAATACCATATTTAGTACATTAGTGAATACCATATTTAGTACATTAGTGAATACCATATTTAGTACATTAGTGAATACCATATTTAGTACATTAGTGAATACCATATTTAGTACATTAGTGAATACCATATTTAGTACATTAGTGAATACCATATTTAGTATATTAAGGGGCTGGGATACCCTGACACCTTGACCTGTGAATACATTATTTAATAAAATTAGGGATCATCGTTTCGCTGCCAAAAACTGTATATATATTACATAAGTATTGGATTTTTTTTCCAGCTTGATTACTTGGATAATAAGATGATAATAAGATTTCTGAAAAGAAAATAACCATACCTTCTAGAACTTCTATGAAAAATTGAAATTAAATAATCAACAACTTTGAGTGGCCAGACTTGGAACCAAACATGATAATGTGGCTCTATAACTAGCTGAGCTATCTAGCTAACATTTTTAACCTGGTACTATGGTGGTGTTTCAATGTATATTTTTATGATATATCTGAAACGCAAATAATTATAAGGGAATGTTTGTAATTTAGTAAATAAAAGGGACTGTGATACTCTGGCTCTTAAATACGACAATAATACATTAAGGTTCTGTAATGTAATTTCACTATTGATAGGCACTAGAGTCAGATTAATGCAGCTTACAGCTTCTGATAATTAATGGATTAAGTGTTCTATGACTATGTATGTTAACATGAATTTACCATTACAGCAGTGTTGTATACCCTTGAAAAAGTGTGCCAGAACATCGTCAGAATCAGTCTTACCTGTGGTGCACTTCTGGCGATAATCTGGTGACATTCTGGTTACATGTATATAAAATATATGCCAGAACATCACTAGAATATCGTAGCTAAAAGCGGCGATATTCTGTGCACTTTGATTCTGGCGTACAGATAGTGTGCTGCAATATCGCTGCAAAATTTGTATGGTAAATTTGTATGGTAAATTTGTATGGTAAATTTACTACATTATTCAACTACGTAGCTGGTTGTCATGCACTAATTCATTAAGTGAGTTAGTATATTTATTGATAAATATCAACCATTCATATGTTCATGTTTGATTTGCAGTTGTGATTGTGCTTTAATGCACTGGTTATCAACTGTTTATATGTGTACAGTGTGGCCGACTCATTGTTGTTTAAACACTTCATATTCTGTATCTGTCTTGGTTTAATGATAACAATCTGCAGCTAACATTCATTATATCACATAATATTTTTTTATACAAGACCGCACTGATAACATATTTGTTTACACAGCAAGTCCGTGAAAAAACTACCCATATGTCATAGGTACCCTATATCGTAACGGCTAACAATGGCATTTATATGTAGTGTATATGTCCAGCCGGGAAACTCATCCAGTAAAAGCCTCCCCCTTACCCTGTGAAATCCATATTCACCCAGTGGTATTTTCAGCTTTCACTTCTGATAACTATGTAAATCATGTTTACTATTGTTCGTTGAAACGATAAATTCGTCCTCATTACGGCAGGCGTTAAAGGTGAAAATTAAAACGGCATCGAAAATTTCCTTGTATACTATTAATAAGTTAATCAGTTATAACTACATTGCTACGAGATATTATAGATTCCTTAACCCTTTCACCCTTGGGTAACTTTAGTAGACTCTGCCATACATTGATCTGGATGAGTCTATTATGGTCTACAGTGGTGAAAGGGTTCACCTTAAAAGTTCGACCATCGTTGACAGACATCATTGTTGTATCGTTGTGTCAATGTATTATCAGAAATATGAAATATGTACAATTTCAATGTCTTTTCAGGGGGACCATGTGTGGTTGGAGCCCGAGACGAAGGGGGAGTTCACCGTGGCTATCGGGGCCAGGGTCAAGTTCCACGACTCCGGCCGTGTACATGTTGTTGACGACGATGGAAATGAACATTGGCTGGACGGGAAACAGAAAATCCGACACATGCACTCGCACTCCGTGGAGGGGGTGGAAGACATGATTGGGCTAGGGGATCTCAATGAGGCCGGCATCCTCAGAAACCTGTTTATACGTTACATGGACAATCTCATCTATGTAAGTCAACTTCACAGTGTGGTAGAATAGAAATTTCTTTTTTTACGCTTAAAGAGTTCCTACGATGTTTTCTTGTATGAGAAACCCTTGATTTAACACCCTTAAGGATAGAGGCAAGGGTATTTTCCAGTCCATACAATTGTATGACATCATACATGTCAACCATATGCATTTGAATGTCAATTAAATGTAACAATGCAAACACTGTTACATTGACATTGCATTATATATATATATGGCAGGGCCAACATGGTAAGAGAAATAAAAATTATTTAGCCCCTTGAGCAGGCCTCCTTTTTGGCAACTTAAACGAATGTTGAGAGGAATCCATATAAATTCCCTATAAGCCGAAATTACCTTTATCTGGACGCTCTTGGAATCGCATGCTCGACTGTTCCAAATGCTGCAAAATGTCTTTGGGATTTAACACGCCCCCCCCCCAAACAGTTACAGTCCTCCAGACCTAAGTATAACACCTCTAACCATGCAATCTCTTGGTTTCACACACTAAATAGCTGTTTCAAATGCTGCATTTAAAATACCCCTCCCCTCCCACAGTTTCAGTGACTTACCTATATATTACGCCTGTAACCTAACTCTGTACAACAAACATTTGAAAAGAATATTCATATGAGCTAACATTGTCTTCATGCAGACTTACACTGGTTCAATCATGGTGGCCGTGAACCCGTACCAGATACTGCCGATCTACACAGCCGAACAGATCCAGGCTTACCGTGACAAGAAAATCGGCGAGCGCCCTCCACACATATTTGCCATAGCTGACAATTCCTACTTCAATATGAGGCGATACCAAAGAGACCAGTGTGTCATCATCAGGTAAGACGGAAGACTGGTAGATCTGGAGTAAAGGGTGTGAATCATTACTGCATTGGTTGTCATTCATGGAGATGTAATTGCGGACAGGGGGTGAGGATCATGATAGCAGTGTTCCAATTGATCAACTTTGTTGACTATTGGTCTATCTATCTATTTATATGTTATACTCCACAGAGACCAAAATGGCTTTAATGCAGAGGGGAAATGGTCAATTAGACCAATAAACTGAACAGTCAACAACAGAAGTCATGACTGATTTTCAGTCAAAATAATTGTGTGTAGATATTATGGGGTTTTCAATAGAGCTGTTCATGATTTTAAGCCTATCTCCTTGTTAGGTTGAGTAACTATAGAGTTAAGACCAGCAAAAAGATCCTGACATTTATTTCCAGCTGCTTTATTTGCGTCATCTCCAGCTTACTTTTACTTTCAAGCTCGCTCATTGCAACTTAGGATTATGAATAACAGTTCCCAATGAAGTGTTTGAGGGGAGGTAGTGAAAATCTGACATTATTTACATAAATTACTGGCAAACAGCATCATGGAGGATTCGCAAGTACCTTTTTACAAAAAACGATAATTAATCAGTCATCGGTTAGTTTATGATATCCATAATGATTCGCAGTGCATACAATTTTAACCATTTCCAAACTATTTCCTGATTCGAATGGCTGTCAGCTGGATTATCTGGTAATTACTGGTAATGTAGGGGCTTAAGATAGGGTCGTTGTAAGGCTGTATATAATATTAGATATGATATGTATTTTATCATTATCGATGATTTAACCAGTTGATAGTCAATGTTATCTGTTTTTACCTGTTAACAGTGGTGAGTCGGGCGCCGGTAAGACGGAGAGTACCAAGCTCATCCTACAGTTCCTGGCCGCCGTCAGTGGTCAGCACTCCTGGATAGAGCAGCAGATCCTAGAGGCAAACCCCATTATGGAGGGTAAGTCATAAGGTTTGACCGATCACAGTGTGTAAACGGGGACACCATACTGCAAGAGGCTACCCACTCATCATTCCTGTACCTATTTCTACAGCTGTGTAGACCTGGAACAAGCATACACATGATTCCAAGTTATTTGGCCTTGAATGGAACATTTTATACATAAAACCATTCTTCTCCTCATTTATTTAAGACTATAAGACAGACTCTAATAGAAAGAGCAAGCTCAAAACTATTTCTGTCTTTGGACAGATACTGTAAACATTTAAACATTCCACAATATCTCATAATGTGTGTATTATGTTGCGAAAGGCCATCCATTAGATTATTATCTTAATTTTTTTTCTTACCAATGTTATTATTTAATTTTTCATTAGAAACTCACAAAACTGTATTGTTTCTGAAGTGGTGGTATTTAAAATTACAAAACATGACATTTGTTGTGATCAGGTACTGTTTTATTCTTTCAGCCTTTGGAAATGCAAAAACAATACGAAACGACAACTCGAGTAGATTTGGAAAATATATAGACATTCACTTCAACGACAAAGGCACCATTGAAGGTGCCAAGATAGAGCAGTATCTACTGGAAAAGTCTCGGATCGTCACGCAGGCGCACGACGAACGCAACTACCACATATTTTATTGTATGCTGGTTGGGATGACCAAGGAGGAGAAACAAAAGCTGGATGTTGGGAGTGCCACTGACTACTGGTACCTTACCCAGGTATAAATCAACACAGCACATACTTATACACATATAGGGTGGTCAGGCTGTGGCAGTTGTGCAGTGGATAACGTACAGTGCAATCTGTATTAAGCGACCACCCAAGGGAAAACAAAAACAAAAAACGATCCTTTAATAAAAGTGATTGTTTAACTCATTCACCCCTGAAGACACATTTGAACTCTTCCAATTCAAAGGATGGGATAGTTCATTACGGAATTTCAGGGGTGAATGAGTTAATAAAGTTTGACCCGATTTTGTACAGAATAACACAACCGACTTTAACCAAACAACTCCTTATTCAAACAACTGAAAACAGACCACCGCCCCAAGAGCACTTACAGGTAGATTAAAACAAACATCGTTCTACAGATCGGGTGAATAACTAAACAATAGTCGAGTGATATTTATGACAATAAAAAAACAACTTAAAGTGTTTTAGAAGAATTGTCATTTCAATCAGATCACACGATCGACGGAGACTTGTTGGAACAATCCTGTTTTAGGTAATTACCATGATTTAAGCTAACTTTTTACAACAGATATTGTTGTTGAAATGATAGCGGTTCCTGTGTTGGTCAAACAGATCGGTTCTCGTGTATTATTCCTTTATTTTACGATGGTAACTGGAAAGAGAATCCAGTTAAAAAATTGACATATTGATGAGGAATTAGAAACGATATGTGTGCTAACATAAACACGTTTAAATATTGTGTTAAGTTGGCATTAAGCTTAGGGCTTTGAAATCTGAGCCAAGAAAATGAAATAGATGGGCATGATTTACAATGATAAACCACAAGATTTATTTTATTTAGGAAAAATATGTAAGATGTCTTAACAGGAATTGTTTTTGCTATCACAGGGGGGCAGTATCTTTTGTGACGGGAGGGACGACACAAAGGAGTTTGCTGATATTCGGTCAGCCATGAAGGTCCTCATGTTCCAAGACAAGGAAGTCTGGGAAATTCTCAAAATTTTAGCGTCATTACTACACTTGGGAAACATCAAGTATAATGGTAAGGCCCTCATTCTGGTACACGAGAATTTCAACTGTAATGGTAGGATGTGACAGTCCTTGTACATCGGAGCCACATTAAGTAAACTGGTATTTATTTAAGAATCACTGGATGTTTTGCCAGGTGGCACAGTGGATAGCGCACTGGCCTTTCATCAAGACTGCTGATGTTCGTTTTTCCAGTTGGATGTAAAAAGGTATGAGGTCACCTGCATGACCACATAGTGCTTCCACTGGTGTCTGCTTCGGCATTAAGACCTTCTTCGTGCTAACATCCAGACCAGCAGGACTGTTTGATATAAGTTGTTAAAATTAGTTTCATTATTGCTTAAAAATCAATGAGTTTTTTTTATGAAGTAAAATGGTAACTTGTCTCTGTCCACGGGATCGTTTGGAACAAGTAGAATAATACAGATTTTGTTTCTGTGTTTAACAACAGATCCTATGTATATGTTGTGTACGATATGTCATGTCCAACACCAATTGAAATACACTTAGCATTTTCTTTTCTATGTTTGTGCAGCCATTGAGATGGACAACATGGACGCAACTGAAATCCAGGACATACAGTCTGTCAACAAAGCTGCCAAACTGATGGAGGTAAATAAACAAAGCTGCAGAGCTATATCAATAATCAATTACAGTTGTCAAACTAATGGAGGTAAATAAACAAAGCTGCAGAACTGTCAATAATCAATTTAAAGTTGCCTAACTGATGCAGGTAAATAAACAAAGCTGCAGAATGGTCAATAAACAATTTAAAGTTGTCAAACTAATGGAGGTAAATAAACAAAGCTGCAGAACTGTCAATAATCAAATTAAAGTTGCCTAACTGATGCAGGCTTCCAAACTGTTAGAGATGGTTTAATCAAACACTTTTTGATATTATGTAGATAGTAGTGTTTAACCATGCCACTCAGTATGGTGTAAGTCAATCCAGATTACGCAATGGTGTATATCAAAACACCAACTGTTAACATAATGTCCCCCGTATTGTCAGGATTTCTTTGTAAACTGAACCTGTATTAAAAGATCACCTGTGTAAAGAGACTACATCTACTAATTCCATTGTAACTTGAACCTGTACAAGAGGCCACCTGTGTTAAGAGACCATCTTTTGGACTTTTCCCTGGTGGTCTCTTTATACAGGTTGGAATAAATGCATACACAAACTAAACATGTGTTCCAACTTTTTTTTCACAGGTGCGGGCTCAGGATTTAATAGACGCTTTGACCACGCGGTCAATTGTAACACAGGGTGAAATCGTGACGACGATGATGAGTGTGGGGAATTCTCAGGATGTGCGGGACGCGTTTGTGAAGGGAATTTATGGTCGCATGTTTATCTGGATAGTGCAAAAAATTAACTTTGCTATTTTTAAACCAAAGACTGCACCCAATCATTTCCGGACATCAATAGGGGTTTTGGATATATTTGGATTTGAAAGTTTTGACCATAACAGGTAGGTGTATGTATTATCAGTCTAATTTCAGGTAAATATTACTACGGAGAAACTCTGGTAATCTGAACACATTTGATCTTGGAAAATTATCCAGATCTATACCGTACAGAACATCATTGGTTTAGAATAGGTAGGTCAATACAGCATCACCTTGACTTATGCCTATGGCTACTGTAAAGTACAGTAAGAGTTTATTTTTTCTATATCAATACATCCAAGAAAAATTCAGCTGAATTTCCCGAGTAATGTTGTACATGTTGTATTCATTTTTTGTTCAATATTCTGATACATTTTTTTGGAAGAATGCATTCGAAGGGTATTAAGTACAACACTCAATTTATTATGATGACATTTTTTTTTTTTTATCTTTTTCCTCTTTTATGTAAAGATCTTGTCCATATACAAACAATGCCATGCCAGTAGAATAGACTTTTTGATTGAAAAAAAGGATCTTTTTGTTAAATGAAAATACAGATACAGACAACGTCTGGTCAAATATATTTTATATACTTCATACTTATTGATAGAATTTTGTTTCCCCACCACAAGGGAATTTTATATATATTTTATATATTTTATATGACAGGGGAATCTTGTGTGAATGAGGGAGATATGATGTTTTATTTCCCCATCATGTGATTGATAAAGCCCATTCAGATATTTATATAATTACGTAAACATAATTGTTTTCTCTTTCAGTTTTGAACAGCTCTGTATAAACTATGCCAACGAAAATTTACAACAATTCTTTGTACGCCACATCTTCAAACTGGAGCAGGTGAGGTCATCATATAAATCTCTACTCGTAAATCCGTAAATCTCTATAATGAAGGATTTTATGAGATGAAAAGAATTGTCAGCACATTTTCAGCTCTTAAGCTTATTAACTCATTACTCCTGAAGACACATTTGAACTCTTCCAGTTCAAAGGTTGGAATAGTTCATTATGATTTTTCAGGGGTGAATTAGTTAACCCTTTTACTCCTACATAACTTTAGTAAACTCTTCCATTAATTGATCAGGATGAGTCCATGATGGTCTACAGTGGTGAAATTAAGGGTTAATCATTTCAATAATCATGCAATGCATCCTGTAAAAAAACTACAGACAAATTTCCGTTGAGCTGACATTATAAAGAAAGACGAAAAGGAAAGATGGACATGAATTATGTACAATATTGGCAAATTTCTTTTCCTTCTGAAAGAGAGATTTAATTTAATTAACTCTCGTACTGGCCTACAGTGGTAGTTATTTCACTCATTCACCCCTGAAATTTCAAGCTGGACTATTGCAACCTTTGAATTTGAAGGGTTCAAATGTGTCATCAGGGGTGAATGAGTTAACTATATCCTGAACGAACTATATCCTGAATGTGCACATGATAACTGTTATTTCCTTGAAACTGATTTCCAGGAAGAATATGACAATGAAGGAATCAATTGGCAACATATTGAATTCGTGGACAACCAGGACGCCTTGGACCTGATTGGTGCAAAGGCCATGAACATCATCTCATTGGTTGACGAGGAAAGCAAATTCCCTAAGGTATGATGTTGAGCAAAGATACTGTAACAATGTATTGAGTTGTTCACATTGGCATTTTACGCAACAGCAACATCACTGTCCCTATGTATTGGGGAGACACAAGCTGAATAAAGAAGAAAACATTGGGGGGAGGTATATTCAAGCATTCATGATAAAAGTCTTAAAACTTTAAAGAGCACCTGTCTTCTCAATGCCTGAATATGAAAAAAAGAAATGTCGCAAAACAGTGTCCCGTTACAGGAAATAGACGTTGTAGTTATCCTGCAATAGACCCATGCCTGGTGATAAGCCAATAAGCTGTTTCTATTACAGTCATGAAGAAAATGCCAACAAGTGCTGTTTCTTAAATTTGTCCTGCAATAAGCCCTAAATGCTATTTTGTTTTCCTGTAATTATATAAATTAGCCCGCTTCCTTACTCTGAGCCCGACATTATGTGTTGGCTCCCTGGGCTTAAAATAGGATAAATGCAGGGTATAATGCTTTATAACCTTCCATTACGTTACATTATCATATTTTGTATTTTACCCTTGTGACAAGGCCATGGGGGTATACAGCATGTGATCCTTTTTTCGTCACCCTAGTAAAAATCCTGGTTTGATTTTACAAATACAGACGGTATTATCGTGGCTTTTTATGATATAACATAAGTAGGTTTGTGGAATCTCCAAAAGAACAGGCCTTAAGGCTGTATATATCCCACTGCAATATGAAGACATTGATAAAAGCAAAATTGATCTGCTGCCCCAAATGCTTGTTTGTTTTGGTTTTACGTCCTATTAACAGCTAGGGTAATTTAAGGATGTGCAAGGTTTTAGTGGCGAAGGAAAGCTGGAGTACCCGTGAAAAACCACAGACCTGCAGCCAGTATCTGGCGACTGCCCCACATAGGCCTTGAACCCGCGATCCAGTGGTGGAGGGCTAGTGGTAGCAGAATGTCAGACCCCCTAACCACTCGGCCACTGCGGCCCCTTGCCCAAAATGCAGTACAATGTGTTTGGGATGTATATCTTTCTTTACTGACTTCCTGCTCTTTGATGCCAGGCACTTGTCTTTGTTTGGCCCTGCTGTTGTTAGGTTGTGAAACAGCAAACAAACATTTATGGGAAGAGAGGGTGTTTTGGGGACATTACAGAAATAGACTATATTCTGTCTCGCCACGATGAAGTAGCGGATGCATCTTAGGTAGTCCATCTAATCCCATGCCATGCATCAAATGCTGGATGCAGCCTACCTTTCATGGTCTGTTGACTTTGTCAGCATCTCCATCAACATTAAGTTTTTGCGTTTAAGTTAGTTTCTCTGATATGTGCATTGATGGTCAAAGCGGGGCACAGGCGAGACATATCAATCTGAATGGCTAGTAAATCAGGTTTGTACATTATTTTGGAAGAAACCTGACCGTTTATGTTATATTTCATTACAGGGATCCGACCAGACTATGTTGGCCAAGCTCCACCAACAACACAAGGACAATAGGAACTATCTCCGACCCAAGGCCGAAATCACACATGTGTTTGGCCTCAACCACTTTGCTGGAGTTGTCTTCTACGACGCCAAAGGTACAGACACTTGTCACCTCGACTGTTCTATCTAAGCTCAATGTCGTGACCTTGTCAGTAAATTTGCAGTTTAGTGTGACCTCTTCTATGACATTTCAATTCAGTGTGACCTTGACTATCCTTTTAGTATGACTTTGTGTTGTGTTTTAGTTTAGTGATAACCTTGGCTGTAACATTTAATTTCAAAATTTGTATATTTCAGTTTAGTTTATGCTAAGTGTGACTGTGTTTCATTTTAGTGTAATGTGACCTTGTCTTTTACATTCTAGGTCATTGTTACTCTGTCTGTTGTATTTTAGTTTAATGTGACTTTGTGCATATTTGACTTTTTATATTAATTTCTTTTTTTTGTAACATTTAAGTTTCTTTTAACCTTTCAGTTCAGTTAAATGTCATAGTGACCTTCATTTTAGTTCTTTGTGACATGTGTAATTTTCTATTTCAGTTTGACCTTGTCTGTAGCTTAAGTTTGTTTTGACCTTTCAGTTTGGTTTCAGTTCAGTTCAACCTTGTCTGTAGCTTAAGTTTGTTTTGACCGTTCAGTTTGGTTTTAAGTTCAGTTTGACCTTCTCTGTAGCTTAAGTTTGTTTTGACCTTTCGGTTTGGTTTTAAGTTCAGTTTGACCTTGTCTGTAGCTCAAGTTTGTTTTGACCTTTCAGTTTGGTTTAAGTTCAGTTTGACCTTGTCTGTAGCCTAAGTTTGTTTTGACCTTTCAGTTTGGGTTAAGTTCAGTTCAACCTTGTCTGTAGCTTAAGTTTGTTTTGATCTTACTCAGTGCAGTTTAAGTTAAGTTTGACCTTGTATGTAGCTTAAGTTTGTTTTGATCTTTCTTAGTTAAGTTTAAGTTCCGTTTGACATTGTCTGTAGCTTAAGTTTGTTTTGATCTTTCTTAGTTAAGTTTAAGTTCCGTTTGACCTTGTCTGTAGCTTAAGTTTGATTTGACCTTTCAGTTCAGTTTAAGTTCAGTTTGACCTTTTCCGTAGCTTAAGTTTGTTTTGACCTTTCAGTTTAAGTTCAGTTTGACCTTGTCTGTAGATTAAGTTTGTTTTGACCTTTCAGTTTGGTTTAAGTTCAGTTTGACCTTGTCTGTAGCTCAAGTTTGTTTTGACCTTTCAGTTTGGTTTCAGTTCAGTTCAACCTTGTCTGTAGCTTAAGTTTGTTTTGACCGTTCAGTTTGGTTTTAAGTTCAGTTTGACCTTGTCTGTAGCTCAAGTTTGTTTTGACCTTTCAGTTTGGTTTCAGTTCAGTTCAACCTTGTCTGTAGCTTAAGTTTGTTTTGCCCTTTCAGTTTGATTTTAAGTTCAGTTTGACCTTGTCTGTAGCCTAAGTTTGTTTTGATCTTACTGAGTTCAGTTTAAGTTCAGTTTGACCTTTTCTGTAGCTTAAGTTTGTTTTGACCTTTCAGTTTGGTTTAAGTTCAGTTCGACCTTGTCTGTAGCTTAAGTTTGTTTTGATCTTTCTGAGTTTGGTTTAAGTTCAGTTCGACCTTGTATGGTTTTTCTCCAGTTCATTGCAACCTTGACCTTTCTTACAATTTCCTTGATGACTGTGTTACAGGATTCCTGGAGAAGAACCGAGACACGTTCAGTCCAGATCTTCTACAGCTGATACAGACCTCCTCCAATCCCTTCCTGGCTGGACTCTTTACTCAGGATATCACCATGGTAACTAAGCCTGCCAATATAAAGATAAACTGAATATAATCACCAATTACATTTAAGCTGTACTTGATAGGTTTTTGTCTCGCCGCCACGAAGACTAAAGTGTTGATTCTCCAGCAGTGGCGGCAGCGTCAATATTTAAGTTTTTGCGCTTAAGTTAGTTTCACTTAAAGTATAAGTGCTAGACCAACCAAACTTGGACCATAGATTCATCTTAGGTAGTACATCTCAACCTGGCATCAAATGCTCAGTATGCGGCCTTTCTTTCATGGTCCATTGACTTTGTCAGCATCTCCATCAACATTAAGTTTTTGCGTTTAAGTTAGTTTCACTGAAATTATAAGTGCTAGACCAACCAATCTTGGACCAGTTTCACTGAAAGTATAAGTGGTAGACCAACCACACTTGGACCATAGATGCATTGTGGGTAGTAAATATCAACCCAATTGCATCAACTGCTGGATGCGGCGTACCTTTCATGGTCCATTAACTTTTTGTGTTTAAGTTAGTTTCTCTGAAACTATAAGTGCTTGACTAACCAAACTTGACCTGTGCATTGATGGTGAAAGCGTGGCACAGGTGAAACTGATCAATCCGAATGGACAATTTCCAAGGTTTATTTCTAAGGAAATCCATAGAATCCATGTATATAATATTAATTGCCAGGTTTTATACCATTGAACTTTGTCGCTGATTACTTAAGTATAAAACATTACTGAAAGTAACTGTTTCAGCAATGTCACAAAACTGCAATACACTCCTGATTTCAATAAATCATTGATCGGGCAATATGACTTGGACAAATTTCTTTTATCGTATATTACAACATATCGTCCAAATCAATCACTGTTTCAATGTCACTTAATATGCCCTTACTTTAACTGATGTTTTTGATGGTAGGGAGCTGACACCAGGAAAAGGGCACCTACCTTGGGATCACAGTTCAAGAAATCCCTGGAGCTGTTGATGAGAACACTAGGAGCATGTCAGCCGTTCTTCGTCAGGTGTATCAAACCCAACGAGCTCAAAAAACCATTGGTATGTCAAATCTTAATGAGAGGACCTGTTTATAACGTACTTCCTGAAAACCAGAATCTAACATGTATTCGTTTTATTATAAGGTCTAGTTTAATATAAAATGCATTAATTATGTGACATGCATGTATCCCTATTTTCAATAAATAATCTTATGAAATTGTTTTGATTAGTAAGACTGTAAGTCAATTTATTTTTTCTCTTGCCTTTGAATGATAAGTTTGATTTTAGTTTTGCTCTTGCCCTTCAAACTTGCAATAAGGTGGAAGTTTAATATACATGGACATTGGCCAAATTTGATTGATAGGTCCAAATATGGAGTGTCGCTCATTACGCTCATTATGTTGGTAAAGAATTAAGCGAGTTTAAATTGAGTGTTTGTCTGTAATGAAATTTCTGGAAAATTGAAAAACTCTCAGGTATAGAATTTTCATGTCACAAAAACTAACATTGTAGTCAACTTAACTCTCATGTTCATTTTTCCCTAGATTTTTGACCGTGAGCTGTGTTGTAAACAGCTACGTTACTCTGGAATGATGGAGACCATTAGAATCCGTCGAGCTGGATACCCCATCCGGCATCGTTTTAACGACTTTGTAGATCGCTACCGACTGTTGGCATCAGGCATTGGACCATCCCATAAGGAAAACTGTCGACAAGCTTCAGAGAAAATTTGCGAGGTAGTCCTAGGGGGCAAGGATTACCAGATGGGGAAAACCAAAGTATTTTTAAAGGTAATAAATCTTGATCACTGACCAATAGCCAATGAAATGTAAGGGACACTAATTGTGCAGCATTTACTGTATTTTCTCCCTTAAAACATTTGTTATGTAAGATGGGTTAATAACCCTTTCACCACTGTTGACCATAATTGACTCATCCAGATCAATGTATGGTAGAGTCTACTAAAGTTACATAGGGTTGAAAGGGTTAATACATTAAATTAACATACCAGAGTGTCCAAGTTGACTTTTCAAGGTCATAAGCTATAGTGCATCTGTTGTAAAAGCCAATTATTATAAAAATGAAATGGCTGAATGTATTGATAAAGGTTGCATCAAAGACAAAATGCCTGTAATGTTTGCAGTAATGATTCAATGTATAGCTACACCCTTCACCTGAGAAGTTTGTGAAGATACCAAACATACATTTTATATCTGAGCAAGCAATGGCAGATACAACTGTTTTATATACCCCCGCTTAATGCCAAGTAATTGGTATATCCTGTCATGCTAGCCACCTGTCGGTTCATCTGTTGCCATTACCATAACAATCCCCACAGTTCGTGTCAGAATCTTTTAAAATTTAATATGTGTGATACAAATTAAATTATCAAGCCCAGTGTCATTCAATGAGGATGTTCCAGTTAACATTATAACAGTTGTTGATCTTTATATATCATTAACACATTTGAACCTGTGATTGCGACTTAGTCCAAAAAATTCTGAACAGTATTGCTGGCATTATAGGTGTGGTTGACAAGGATCATATAGGCAAGTATATATCTTTAAATGGTTATGCTGCAGTGTTTTTAACGACAGTTATTGCCTTTTATAATTATAATAATAGTCCTGCACATTTGAATGTTATAACAGAATTAGAAAAAAATAAGGACAAATATTAATGTAAAATTTTTGATAAAAGGGTAAAAAACATATTGTCTAATATTTAAATTTTTATAAATCTATAAATCAGATAATGTTTAATTAAAATCACATGCAATACTGTAAAAATGGAGAAAAAAAATTGTGTGTCGAAATGTTTGCATTGTGACTTTTTCAATTGATTGCGATGTGGAAGTTTCAGCATTGACAAAGGTTCTGTAATCTATATATATGTATCTATATCTATGGGGATTTCCGTGCTTATGATAAAAATTCCAACTTAAATGGTCTTTTTTCACCCTTGCAATCGAAAGATGTTGTAACATGATGTGAATTTAATTTATAGGATGCCCAGGATGTGTATCTAGAACAACAGAGGGAGTTGGCCCTGACGGCCAAGATTCTGATCCTGCAGAAGACAATCCGTGCCTGGCACTGCAGACGCAAGTTCCTGAAAATCAAGACTGGCTCCATCCTTATCCAGAAGATGTGGCGACAATACCTGGAGAGGAAGCGCTTCCTTCTGGTCAGTATTTCACCTGGGTCCATATTCATGTAACATGTCTCATGCTTAACTCATTCACCCCTGCATATTTAAACTAGACTTGCCCAGTCTTTGATTTGGTCAGGTTCAAATGTGATTGTAGGGGTGAATCAGGTTAAGCATGGATCATGTGCTCAAACTAACTTACCTTTCTTGTAACTCACTTATATTAATATAACATCTTCAAAACCTAATGTGTAAACATTGAAAACAATTATTCGGCTTTATACCTCTTTAATGTTTCTCTGTATCATTGGCAAATGTCAATTAATTCATCACTTGAGCAAATAATTGGAAATATTGAATGCAGAATCTGAGTTTGATCAATACAAGCCCAGAATGCATTGCTTCAGCATCGATTGAAGTCCAATGTTATTTTGTTAAGTTGTATAATCCAGTATATTGCGATGATTCTCAACAGTATTTCACCATTTTGTAGCAGTGTATACTGGGTTATTTTTGGGGCTGTCATTTTTCACAGATGAATTTAACAGTAGATTCAACAGTTATTAATGGGCCGTTATGTTTGAAATTAATATTTTATCAGATGAAGCAAGGATACATGCGACTACAGGCAGTGGTGAGGTCACGCTTACTGACTGCGCAGTTCAACCGTAAACGGGCCGTCATCATTGACTTACAGGTAAATATTTCTCATCAGTATTGTTAGATCAAGGTTAAGTTAAAATGAATTACTCTCTCAACGTTTGATGGATATAAAGTTTATGTCTGTTTTACAATGTGTGGAACAAATAATAAAATGTTTTAAAGAGATGCATGGTCAATCTCAAAAATAGATGTGATCTTACAGTTGTGTTATTTTCTTTGACAACAAGACAATATACGGAGATTTATTTCTGTAACTAGCGCCGTTGCCGTGGCTACCTGGTGAGGAAGTGGACGATGCAGAGGATGATTTCCATCGTTAAGATTCAGGCTGTGGTGCGTGCCATGATCGCCAGGCGTAAATACAAACGTCAAAAGATTGAGGTAAAATAAACTCTCAGACCTATATATTTATGCAGTTTCTCTAATTTCTGTAATATACAAATGATATTTTGATGGTCTTCAGCATTGAACTGAAAATTAGTCCACAGAATTAGCTGTATACATTAAGAAAATAATGTGTTTTTCAGTAGAGATCGATGATGCTTTTAATCAAGGATGAAAATGTGTGTCATCAAGTATTTTCAAATATTTTGAATGATAAACTGTGACACAGGATTGTAATGTTGAGAGTTGTCTGCCTTTATGTCTTTTTAAATGAACTATTTGATAAAACCTTTTTTCAACTGTTAGCTTACCCATGCTTCATATACCTCTCTCATTCACAGTACCACAACAAGATGGAGCTGGAACATCTACGAAAGGAAGAAGAAGGCAAACTGAAGCGAAAAATGAACGACAAAAAGGCTAAAATGGAGGCAGAGCGACTTTATCAGGTAATGATCGAAGCCTACAGGGTGTACTAGCTGATACCAGTTTATCCTGCTATTTCAGTGGGAAAATCTTGTGGGGGTTTTAACCGAGTGTGTTGATGCCTTTAACTCATTCGCCCCTGAAGACACATTTGAACTCTTCCAATTCAAAGGTTGGAATAGTTCATTATGAAATTTCAGGGATGAACACTTGAAAGCATTTACTAATACTTAGCATATTGATACCATTATTCTGCTATGTCAGAGAGATATCTTTGTAAGGGCTTACTCGGCATGTTGATACGTCCTTTATATACTCCCTGTGTTGAAGAGAAACCATTGTGATGGTTTTACAAGAGGTTTTCATCATATATATATTTTACACAGACTATGCTAGCTTAGGAAACATATTCACATACATAGGATTTAATATAAAATTCTCTTATACCCTACTGGAGAAGGTCACCAAATCAATACACAATTAACAAATTGCTGAAGTGAAATATATTAAGGAAATTTAATTAATGAACAAAAAACGTATTCACGTCAGGAGTGATCAAGTCCCAGTGTAGTCAGGACGAAAGCTCTTCGGTAAGCTTAAGTAATTGTTGTGAGAAACAGTTTAACCCATTTCATCATCAAAACATGTCACTGTTCAGTCAGATGTGACAGATTAACATCATTCTATGCAGAAAGATATAAATGTTGAAGTTGAGAAGGCTCGACTCGGTAATTTTTTTGAAATTGCTGAATTGCTCGTTTCTAGGAGCGTCTGCGGGAGATGGAGAGAAAAGTTGAGGAGGAGGAGAGCATGGAGAAAAACATGGCTATCCAGAAGAAGGAACAGATTGAAATAGCTGAGAGGAGGAAGAATGAGCCAGTCAGCGACTCCAAACTGGTATGTCCTTAGGGTCCCTGTCCCACTGCACCACCGCTTTTCCTATATAGAGTAACCTCCCCTTAACTTCTGTTTGGATATAACTGTAGTACAGTTGGGCTGCCTGTACAGCTGCATTGTCCAGGTAGCTCAGTCGGTTTCAGCCATGGTATAACAATCTGAAGTCCAGGGTTCAAATCTGAGTCTGACCTCGAAGAATATTTTACACCCAAAACAAGTTTGTTGATTACATGTTGTTTATTTCATCTCCTTTATGTTTTCATGAAAGCCCCAAAAATGATTTATCAATGCTTATAACAGTCATGTCCAGAAAATAAGTTTTGAATGGATAGTTGCATTTTTTGTCAAAGGTTACACATAGATCCATAAACTGTTAGAATTTTGAAGTATTTATATTATAATATTTAATCATGCATACTAAATGAAATTTAAAGGTGAAACTTCAGACACTGAGTTTGTTGTTTAAGTCTCGCATAATGTATTTAGTAGCTAATCACTGACTGATAACTTACTGTATACTGGCAAGCTTTTCACCACAGTTAAACTTCAGCCTTTTTTTACCTTCCGTAATTGGGGCAAATTTGTCATGAGAGCAAATATTGGTACATATTTTACCAAGTAATTGAATTTCAGTATTTGTCATTTATCTTCACATATTTGTCATACCTTTTTTCGGGGGTGATGGTTTTTATCAAGACTAATATACAATATAAATGAAAATCAGTCTTACTTTGTTATGAGAGGATATTTAATGCCAATACATTCCATGTGTTACAGGTTGAGGAGATGTTTGGCTTCATCGATGGTAACACTGATGATGGCGCAGCTCCATATTCATTTAAAGTGAGTCTAACATTGCACTGACGTTGTGCACTACAGCTTTGTGTGACTACCCCCATTGATTCTTGGTAAATAGATAGACAGTTCTCCAGCTAGAGCTGCACCTTAACAAGAAGGTGCCATCGTACCTAATGGCAGTGTATCTCTCACAAAGACCTTTTGCTTCGTTTGGATCGTATCAAGTGAAAAACAATATTTATATCATAGATTTTGTTCGTTAAAGGAACTTTCACATGAAAGTAACTAAACTATAGATGAAACGGTTTGCCTAAAATAAAATAAACAAAATTATTTACGACACTAAAAATTGCCCTAGTTTACCATGATGTGACCTTGAACTTTTTAGGACTTGGAAGACAAGCGCCGTCGAATTGCCCACGAGAACGGTATCGAGGACTATAGTAGTCTGATGGAGCCGGAGCTGCCGGAGGATGACGAGGACCTCACCGAGTATAAATTCTCCAAGTTCGCAAGCATGTACTTCCAGGCTAATACTCCACATACATTCATACGCAAGGCACTCCGGGAACCCTTACTGCCAATGAAAAATGACGGTGACAAACTGGTATGACCACAGTCTTTACTTTGAGATCGATATACTATTGAAATATTTCATCCATACTTTATACTCATGAATTTAATATAGGTATCTATTTCGACAACTGTTAAATGCAGTGTACAGGGAAATTATCGACGCATTTTAACTTTTGGTGTTTTTGCGCCTTCGCAATGAGGGTGAAGTTATCCCCATCAGTGCAAATATCAGTATACAGCGCATTACATGTAAAGGGTGAAATCAACATTGGGTGAACACAGACTTTTCCGGTGAAGGGCGAATATTTGACAGAATGAGTTTCCTGGTATACAGTAGTGGTATCTGGTAGTATCGAATATTTACAAACTTTTAGGTAATCTGTTTACTATTACAAAGATTTTGGTGATCTGTGTTTACTGTTACAAATATATTTTTGTGATCTGTTCACTGTAAAACCTTTTATTGATCTGACCTTTGTCCTATTTTAGGCGGCACTGGCTGTATGGATCACGATACTGAGATTTATGGGAGATTTACCCGAGCCCAAATATACTGCCATGGCACAAGACTCGAGGGTAAGTGTTTGTATAGAAATCGGACACATCTGATGTAAACATTTATGATACCTTCCTCATAGAAATTTTCTAATATAAACTTGAGGACGAAAAAAAGATGTGTATATTATTTAGAAACTGTACATTACTCAAGAGTATGGCAGATATCACTTTACTATAAGGCATTAGAAGTACATTTGTTTTTGCTAAATATGTGAATATTGCATCACAACCCACCAAACAAACGGGTTAATGTTTGTGGTAGAATCCAAGATGGAAATCAACATGCAAGGTATATTGCTTATCATTCCGCAATGGAAATGTTACTCCATTTTGAGGCGATTTTACTAAAAATATAGGCTCATCAATAATGAAGTTGATTTTGCAAAGACATTATGGTTTTGATGGATTTAAGTAACAACTTTGAATTTGAAAATAAAGGCTAAAATGCTGTAATATTATACTTATAGCTTTCTGTTGAGATGATAATAGCAAAACACGGCATCCATCTAATGTTTGAAAACACACATAACATTATATTGATGATTGTGAATCTAATAAATGGAATCAATTACAGAAAGAATTCTATAATATTCTATTGAACTTTTGTTTGTTTTTCTATTTTTAATGTTTACTTTTGATATGTGTAAAACAGGATACCACTCCAGTCATGACCAAGATCTACTCCACGCTAGGACGCAAGTTCAACAAAAAGGATTTGGAGGAGGCACAAAGGATGGGTCTGGATATTGTAAGTGTGAAATGAAGAATGTATCTGTGTAGCGTCTGACAAAAACAATGGGGTCCAGGGCACTTATATTCTCTTATAATGTACCTTATCTGTGATATAGGTTAATTGTTTTGCAATCGTTATAGTGCATGCAGTCTGTGCCCCAGCTGGCAGACATACGTCGGGCCAACTTCAGACAAGGTCATACTGATCCAACTTGTATGCTCATATATTGACTTTGACATTTATCCGGAGTTAGGCCAATGGGAAACTGTGAAGTGTTGAATTACAGAAAGAAATCACTGATTATTTTAACTAACAATTGTCAAAATAAGTATATATGTATAACAGATATCTTGGTCGCAAAATCTGATGAGTTATTAACTTTATTATTTCAGGAGAAGGAACCTTACCCAATGGGTAGAGCTGGAAAACGCAGCATGAGGAAGAAGCTTGTGTCCTTGACCTTGAAGAAGAAGTCAAAGATCACAGAGGAGGTGACACGTAAATTGATGGCGGACTTTGACGGTAGCTATGGTAGCAATGCCCTCCTGGAGGAACGGCCCACGTCTAACCTGGAAAAGCTCCATCTCATCATCGGACACGGAATTCTCAGGCCTGAGCTGCGGTATTTAAACTGTTTTAAATATACGATAATCAATAGATAATCTATCTGCTCATGCAGTTTTCAGGCTGATAATGGAATTAAGTAGATTACTTTTCATTTACTTGCTGATATTTCATAATCATGGAGAATGCGGCAAAGGGGATGAAAAGTTGATATATCAGTGTGCTAGTGACGTGGTAAGGCCTTCCTCTTGACCAATATATTATAGCTCTTTAACCCTTTAAACCCTGTGTAACTTTAGTAGACTCTACCATAAATTGATCTGGATGAGTCCATTATGGTCTACAGTGTTGAAAGGGTTAAATGACATCAGCTTGGTCATTATCCTTTGGTCTTGAACAATTTTGTGTGTCTATATGTCATTTACTGTTATTTACAGCTATTTCAGCATTATGCTTGGCTTAAAACTTGAACCAACTAATTATAAGGCATTTTTTTTTTCATTAACAGGGATGAAATCTACAGCCAAATTTGTAAGCAGTTGACTCAGAACCCCACCAAGAGCAGCCATGCTCGAGGCTGGATCCTGCTGTCCCTGTGTGTAGGCTGCTTTGCCCCTACAGACAAGGTGAGAGAAGCAGTGTGTCATGATTTGTATCAATCTGTCGTTACTTTAAACGAAATTATTGTTTGCCTGCTAAAGGATCTTAAATACTACGAAGTTTGAAGTTTAGGTATGTTAAAAATTCATCCTCCTTTCAGAATTTTTTTTCTCAAAATTTATTTCAGTTGATTGCATCTAGTAAAATGTAAATTTCTTTCAAACATCTAAATCTTCTTGAGTTCAAATCTTTAGCCACCACTGAGTGTATCTTTCCTTTGCCCAATCTTTACAGTTTTTGAAGTATCTGCGAAACTTTATACATGAGGGGCCTCCGGGATATGCTCCTTACTGTGAGAGTCGTCTCCGCCGGACATTCGCTAACGGCACACGTAACCAGCCTCCTAGCTGGCTGGAGCTACAAGCCACAAAGTCCAAGAAGCCTCTGATGCTTCCCATTACCTTTATGGACGGCAACACGAAGACCCTCCTGGCTGACTCTGCTACCACGGCTAAGGAACTCTGTATGCAACTGTCTGAAAAGATTGTCCTCAAGGACCAGTTTGGGTTCTCCCTTTATATTGCATTGTTTGACAAGGTAAGATTGGGGACTCGCTTACTGTTTCATTTGTTATTACAGTCAAACCTGCTCATGTGTCCACCTCCATTAAGAGACCACCTGTGTAAAGAGACCACATTTGTTAAGAGACCACTTTCAATGTTCACCATTGGAGTCACACCTGCATATAGGATTGTCCCTGTCAATAGTATTATACTGCCTAACAAGAAATGTTCGTTGTGTATAAATATTTGTGGTTTTCATGGTTGCTATTGAACCACGAAAATAAATACAACAAATTTATGATATACCTGTCTACTATTTGTTAATATAGGCTATCTGAGAAAGCTTGGAACACAAAACGATCTAAAAGGCTTCAAAGCCACTAAGAAATATACCCATAAACATTTAGTGTTAAACAGTTTGTGTAATATGTGCATATACCAAGGATATCCTGCACACCAACATACCGTCTCCTGCATACACACGCAAGCACCCTTACACTACACACATGGAGGCACGTCCTTAAATAACCTTAGTTGTTAATTATAGGAGGTTAAACAAAATTAAACCAAACTGCAAAACTGGCAACACAAATGTGAACTGCATATGTATTAAGAGACCACATTTTGGATCTGTCAATAGTGGTCTCTTAGCACAGGTGTGACTGCATCTTGAGTTTACTTATCTTTGTGTTTTATGATCTGACTCGTTTTAACATATATATATACTTTTGACTTGTTTTTAAGAATTAGTTACAAATCATTAGTCAACTGTTTCTCAATTTCAAAACACAGTTTATTTCTAAACACTTTACAATTAGATTGATTTTAACATTTAAACAAAAAGAAATTCCGTTATTTTAAAACAATTATAAAACAAGTTCTATAAGTGTATATTTATCACTCTTGTTTTTTTGGGGGATGGAAGCATATATACAGGGGCTGTTAATATGGGAAAAAATAAAGTGCCCAGAAAATCCTTCTTGATCTGCCTGCTGAGGTGACCATTTACCTTTTCATATGTGATTGAGGATTACAGAAGAATATTTACACGACTGTAGTGAGGACATTTTTAATGTACTATTATAGGTGTCCTCGCTGGGGAGTGGCGGAGACCATGTGATGGACGCGATCTCCCAATGTGAACAGTATGCCAAAGAACAAGGCGCCCAGGAGAGAAATGCCCCATGGCGACTCTTCTTCCGTAAGGAGATCTTTGCTCCCTGGCACAATCCTGGAGAAGACACAACAGCCAGCAATCTGATCTTCCAGCAAGTTGTGCGTGGCATCAAATTTGGAGAATACCGCTGTGATAAGGTGAGCATATTGTTGGAAGAAAAGTTCCTCTACAACTGAGGTAGATATACAAATTCATTGACCAAACTATTGTGGTACACTGTGTTTACAAATATGACAAAACATTATTGCAGTTACCTTGTTGTGATGAATTTCTTTATACATATGCTCATGGCCCCGCATCAGAGATTTATTTGTCCTATATCAATCATGGTAATTTCATCCATCTCTCCGTCAAAGCGTTTGCAGGGATTGTCTCAGAATTCAAAAATCTCATTTTTTCCAAATTTGTCATAGTGATACATTGTGACATGTCGATTTGCAAAAGGTGTTTAAAAAGTATTTAGTGTCAAGGAGACTGTTACTATAAATAGACCTTGGATTCATGGTCTGGTACATGATAGTTGGGCGTTATGCTGATCTATCTATCAGTGTTCTAGTTACACTCCTGAGAAACATTTCTCAAAACAACTTTTATTCATGTAATGACAGTAAGGTACGGTTGTTGTTGATACTAAGAAAGTTATTTTTCTACATTACTGAAACATATCTGGAAACTTTGTTAATTTCTGTCATTTCAAACAGCATTTTATCATGACTGTAAAGTGTATGTTTTCCCCTGTGTCTCGCAGAAGTCTATATTAGGTCACTTTATCCACTCATTCTCTGAAAGCCTTATTGTCTGTGACGATCATTATTCATATTCATCAAATGACCTTGACCTTGTCGCCACCAGGATGATGACCTTGCGATGATCGCGGCCCAGCAGTACTACATAGAGTATGGATGTAACGCTAACCCTGAAAGGCTCCAATCTCTTCTGCCGTCTTACGTACCAGACTCATCACTTCAGAAACCAAATGCTACAGGCTTCTGGATCAATATGATAATGACTAAGCTACGGATACCGTACTTTGAGAGGATCAAACCGGTCAAGGTCAAAGAGGACATAGTCAGTTATGCCAAGTACAAGTGGCCACTTCTGTTTTCACGCTTTTACGAGGCGTATAAGTTCGCTGGTCCGAGCTTGCCAAAGAACGATGTGATCATCGCTGTGAACTGGACAGGAGTGTACATCGTGGACGACCAGGAACAAGTGTTGTTGGAACTCTCCTTCCCGGAGATTACAGCTGTATCCAGTAGCAGGTAAGAACAGGGCTGCTTTCGGCTATTCCACTCCAAACAGATTGACGGTTTAGACCATAGTTATTGTTCGTTTATGAAATTGTGACAAACCTATTATTGATTTGAGGTTGCTTTCATGCAAGCCTTGACAAAGGCTATTACAGCCGCCTTGCATTATAACTATTTGCAGATCCGTCAGCTAGGATTTATACACGAAATAGAACATTTTAAAATGGGCAAACTGGTTTGTCCGTTAAAACGATCAGGCCTCTGGTGTTAGAATGGTGATATTCTCTTTCTCACAGTTAGAGATTTCTTAGAAATTTGTAGAGTCTCATAGCCTGATGAGGAGGATTAGGATTCAAAACAGCCTGAAGGCCTGGAATGATAATAATCCAACATTCAACGCACAGGGGTCAAACTTAAATTATTTCTTCTGAATAACTGACTTGTGATTGTTTGTTATTGCTAGAACGGGTAAGATGCATGGGCAGAGCTTCACATTGGCCACGGTGAAGGGAGACGAGTACACATTCACGTCGCCAAATGCAGAGGATATACGTGACCTTGTCGTGACCTTCCTAGAGGGTCTAAAGAAACGCTCCAAATATGTGATCGCCTTACAGGACTACACTTCACCTGGTAGGTTAGATTTTACGTAGACAGTTGCCTTACAATCTTGAAACAAGTACAGACATGTGTATGTAATCTTTTAAGTTTATATTCAAAAACAAGTACAGACATGTATATGTGATCTTCTAAGTTTATTTAAAGAAGTTTTATCTTTGAAAAATGAAGACATGGATTAATTTTCCATGTATGTTTTCTTCAAAGTGAAACAACTAACTTTACCCACTTACAAGATATAAAGTTCTGCAATTTCAACAAAAAAACATTCCTGTTTGAGATATGCAACACATTTATATCTTATTTAAGTTTTAAGAAGTATATATATCTATTTCAAACTAAAGCCTGAAAAAAAAGAGATTTGGTAACTTTTACTTCCTGTTGTTTCATCGGTTTTTGGGTGAAAAAATGAAACCATGAGAATTTAGGTTTATTGTAGTTCTTGTGTTTTCGCCCGAAGAGACGAAACAATAAAATGGCACATATCAGCCACCGTAGTTATTGTAATGAGATTCAGTAGTGTAGAAACATCCATGTGTTTAGATAGTATAATATCAATATTCAATTATTGGTAAATTTTGTTTACAGAGAAACAAAATGCCCCTGATGAGGAACCAAGTGAGAAATAGAACTGATATTGTATAGATTAGCTATTTAACCCTTTCACCACTGTAGACCATAATGAACTCATCCAGATCAATGCATAGGAGAGTCTACTTAAGTTGCACAGGGGTGACAGGGTTGAGTATACTGTAAATGTACATATTTTAGTGGTACAATGTAGTTTTATTTTTGTGGTAGTCTTGTTTTAGCAATTTGTGCTCTCCTAATATTGTGGTAAATAATGATTTAGCGAGTTTGATTTCCTGTATAGTGTTTTTCTATTGCATATTTTGTGGGTGTGCCAATTCATCAATGTGCTAGATTTGACATCATGCTAAAATGTGGGTGTGCTGAAATATATACGTTTACAGTACAAGAAGCTGCCATGTACTGCTCCAAAACTCTAGCATGAAAATGACACTGTACGTACGTCTCCATTATCCTAAAAAGTTTTCAAGGTGAAAAGCTTTCAAAAATAGGAAACATTCTGCAGAAATATCAACTCATACAGGAGTTGGTCATGGTGCTAACTGCAGAGGGACTTTTTAATATTTCATCACACCTTATCATGCAACTTCAGTATGTGTAAGTTAAATTTTGATATTTTTTTTAATTTTTAGCAAATTTTCTGGGCTGTGAATATATTGGAGAGACACATCTGATAATTATGTTAGGATAGAAGACAAATTTTCATATTTGCTAAAGTCATAATTTGAATTGGATTGCAAATTTAGTTTTGTGTGCTTTGCAATGTCTTATGAACCACAAAATTAGAAATCTGCACTATGATATTATGCAAGGTCTAGAATTGGTATATGTGTAGCGGAACTGGACTGGGTCGATCGTCGGCTCAATTGGTAGAGTATCCATCTAGAGTTCGGAGGGTCCCGGGTTCGAACCCCTTCGAACCCCGGTCTGGCCGTTACATTTTCTCTTTCTCATGTTACAAAATTGGCGAGCTTGCCAACCCTTGTTTCAAGCATTGAGAGAATGCTTAGTAAGGGGATACCCGAACTTGGGTTGTAAATAGTTGTGTCTTCGGGGGCGAAGACTTAGAGTTCGGAGGAGATGTACGTAGCGGAACTGGACTGGGTTGATCGCCCTCAACCAGGTAGCTCAATTGGTAGAGCATCCATCTTAGAGTTCAGAGGGTTCCGGGTTGGAACCCCAGTCTGGCCGTTACATTTTCTCTTTCTCCTGTTACATATGTATAAGTGTTCATAATCACAGTGAAGTTTAACTAAGGTCAATTGCTGTGCTGTTCAGTACTATTACAAAAAGGTAGTCAAATTGTAAGTTTTTGAAATCAAGATTAAATTTTTAAAACATCAATTGCCAGAGCAGACAGGAGCAGAGTTGTAGATTGAGAGAACGCTGTTAAAGTGTAGATACAGAGCTAGTACATGTATGAAACCATTGAACGATTTATTCACGTTGATTTATATGAAATGTTATTTCAAAGGTATAAAATACACCCAACGTTTCGACAACTTTACATGACTGGATAAAATTGAGATCATATAATTATATGTTGTCATTTCATGGACTCAGTCCTGTGTGAAATTAATGAGCATCTTGTAAAACAAATTAAATTATTTGAGTTAATTGAAATAAACTTGATTACCATATTCCTCCTGTTTTATTAAGCCCAAAAATGGTAGGCTAATTACGGGAGAAAGAAACGGCATTAACTGTCATTTGTACTAGCTGCTATAGATCTGGATGAGTTAGTCGTGCTTATTGCCAGATAAATATGGTTACCATGCAGTCTTAATGAGCAAAATGATTATTTTCCAATATGATATATTATACATTGTCTGAAAAGCCTATTCAGTATACACAAGTCTCCTGTTTCCTGTCCTGTATGAAAGAATCAAAATGTAACAGTCGCCCCTTAATTTAGTGTGATGCTACATGTCCCTCAGTGTGATGTTGTAATTTTTGTAAGGTCAAAGTTCATATGGAGGTGTAACTTATATATTACAACCAATGAAAAAATGTCAAAAAATTGTTGCCTACAACTGGGCAACAGGCAATATTAACCAATCATCTTTAAGTTCATCCTTTGCCTCTAGAGCTCGAGAGTGAAGAAACTAATTATAGCCATTGTAAGGGAATCAGCTTAAACTTTCTGGAAACTGGATAATTGTTTAATCTATTTTTTTTTTGTGCAATATTGTTTGTAGATAACATGGTTCTATTGGCTGTGAAGTAGAATCTTTTGTTCCATGTTCAATGTACAAGACCAGACTTTAATTATTTGTAGGTGACGGGTCTTCGTTCCTCGACTTCACCAAGGGTGATCTTATTGTGCTGGACCAACAGAATGGGGAGACTGTGATGAACTCAGGCTGGTGTGTCGGAGAAAATGTGCGTACGAATGTGAAGGGTGACTTCCCGGCCGAGTGTGTCTATGTACTGCCAACGATCAACAAACCCCCTCCAGAAATTCTGGTAAGTCTTCCCACAACTTAACCCTTTCACCCCTATGTAACTTCAGTAGGCTCTACCATGCATTGATATGGATTAGTCCATTATGGTCTACAGGGGTGAAAGTGTGAAACACATATAAGTCTCAGTGCCAACCATCATCAAACTGCTGTCAGAAATCCTGGCATACCCTAAAATCATGATGATACTTGAGCGGTGACTTCTTGTCACTTTTAACTCATTTCCCCTGAAGACACATTTGAACTCTTCCAATTCAAAGGTTGGAATAATTCATTATGATATTTCAGGGGTGAATGAGTTAATAAGTAATGCCAGGCTTATTTTCAAGGCAGTCTTATAATTATTTTAGAAGTCATTTAGACAGTCAGCCATAAAAGGGTTGTTTTGATCACTGTTTTTTTCATGGAAAATATTCTTTTATACAGGTTTTATTTGAATTTGATCAAATGAAGACTATTCCTTTTGTTAAAACAAATTGCTGAAATAATGAGTCATGTAGTGTGATAACTGTTTAGGCCAACAGGGAAAATGTGGCTCCGTGACCTGGAGTCCAAGGGATATTTTCCAAGATCAGTCTATATTCAAAGACACTTTATTTTTCCAGATATGTTTGACTACTTAATAAGGAACCCAAGGCTTATTTTCAAATTTAATTAAATTTGTTTAAATTATTGGGTTTATTATCGACGTTTTAATGTATTTCAGTATTGTAACATTGATATATTTCTAAATCACTAATTTGACTGTGTACGTGCTGGCATCATGATATATAGTTAGATTGAATTTCCTTCTTTGACCTATTAATATTTATTGTATTATGTGTTTAGTGTGATACAATACCTGCTTTGTCATTCCAGAATCTGTTCCTCCAGTCTGGTGAGCAAGCAGATCGGATGCTGGCTCCGACCCAGGTGGACAACGTTCCGGATACGGGAACAGACGTACCTTACACACTGGAACACTATTCTTACGATCACTTCAGGTATACCACATGTAAAATATACAGAATATGGCATAGTTAGAAGTCTCTGAACTTAAATATATAGGAATTAAAGAGAAATAAATGTGGCGAACTCATGTTTGTGATTTATATTAATTGTTGTTCCTTTTGAATCCTCAATTCATTCACCCCTGAAATTTCATAATGAACTATTCCAACCTTTGAAATGGAAGAGTTCAAATGTGTCTTCGATTTCAGAGGTGAATGAGTTAATTCAGTATTGGGACAAGTAATTAGTGATTTGATGACATCTGATCCAGAGATTATCTCAGAATCCAAAGGACTCATGTGATTTATCAAAATTTGACATGGTGATATACTGTGATATGTATAGAGGTGCAAAAGGGGTTTTAAAAGGTCAAGGTCACTGTTACTAAAAATAGATCATAGTGGTTTTTATCCTTATCTTGGAATCCAGAAGAGTAATCTTTTTGAAGTTCGACATGATGATACATTGTGATATACAGGTGTGCCAAAAAGGTTTTGAAAAGTTCAGAGGTCAAGGTCAAAGTCACTGTTACTAAAAGATTGACCATAGTGTAATATGGAGAGGGGGGTGGTCAGGCACATGGTGGGGACTTGCTGACTTGTCATTATTTTGTGATAATGTTATTACACTCATGAAAAGTCTGGTCACATGATAAACAAAATATAACATCACTTATTTTTTCTCCCAGACCTCCTCCCAAGCGTACCCTGTCCAAGACCCTGTCAACAGCACGCAAGAGGCGCCCTGACGAACTGTGGCGACACTCCAAGGAGCCGCTCAAACAGCCACTGCTTAAGAAACTGCTGGGCAAAGAAGAGCTTTGTCAGGAAGCATGCATGTGTTTCCTAGATATCCTTTTCTTCTATAGTTTACCAATAAATGCTATTGCTTTGTCTTAGTTTTACATTTTAGATCTCTCTGTAACCTTATATTTATACTGTACCAAAAAAAAATCATTTGTTCAGTTCCATATTGTACGAATTCATCATTAAATGCTCCAAATTTTAAAACAAGAAAATTTTGCTTCAAATTTGACAGAATGTGTTTCATACTTGTTTTAACATCACTTTTTATGAGCGTTATACTGATCGTAAGTCCCAAACCTATAGTGTTTTTTAAGCAGAATATGCAAAAATGCAAAGATGGAAATTACACGATCATTAATGCTTCTTTTTGAAAGTGAATTCAAAGAAGGATTATATGGTTTGATAATGTAACTGACAGCGAGCTGATATCTTTGACAAATAAAAACTTGGTTATATCAAAAAGTAAACAAGAAATGCGGGATTGCATGTTTATTACAAAGTATCTGCTCTCCTTAACTTTGTTTACCTCTCTTGAAATACATCGGTGACCACCCCTCGAAACGAGGAAGGACGGCCAACGAGCTCACAGATCAAATCTACGAACCTCCTCTACGAAATGTAAGTGTTAATAATCTAAAAATGCCTGACATTAACAGTTGAAGATTATTTAATTGACGAAATCCACAACCTGTATAAATGTAAATTTTGTAATTATAAAATATATATATAGTAATAAAAATGCAGGGTGATTCCTGTAGTTCTTATAACTTACAAATAAAAAATAAATCAGTGTGTTTTGTATATGATATGTCATGAATAAAATACTTCTGAATTTCCTGTCTTCATTTCACCCTGGCTGTACATGTTGTGAGGATGGTAACCAAATAGAAAAAAACCCAGAAATTTTAACTTCAACGAAATTGACATTGTTGTTTTTATGTAACTTGTATTTGAGATATCTTATGTGTATATATCAAAAATTGAAATTACGAAAATATCGTTGAAATTCAAATAACTTGGCAAAGATTCAAGGTATTTATTTGCACTAACATGTCGGAGTGTTCAACTTTTCACCCTTATGCATTGTTATTATGTTACTTTAATGACATTTTGAATTTTGTTCATAATTTTTCCGCATTTTACAATTGCCCTAATTCATTTCTCATTGTTTTCGTTTTCCAGGAACTTCTGAGAGATGAGATTTATTGTCAGATGATAAAGCAACTGACAAACAACAGAAATGAGTAAGTCTTTTTGAACCTCACCTCATACTGTAGACCATAATAGACTCATCCAGATCAGTGCATGGTAGAGTCTACTAAAGTTACATAGGGGTGAAAGGGTTAATGATTGTGTTTCTAAATCCAGAATGGGATCAGCACTGAATAAATTATTATTCGAAAGTTTATTCGCAACTGAAAATCTGAATAAATTTTAGAATAATGATTTATTCAGATTTTCAAATAAACTCTGATTCCGAAATTGATTCAGATTTCGAAATTATGTGTTCTTGAAATTGAATGTTAGATAATTTATGCTATTTACCATACAATTTAGAAAAAAAATACTTCAGTCTAGATATGTAGATACAATACATTGTGAAGTTTTCAATATTTATGGGATAACATTTTTGAAAAAAGAAAACTAACAGTATATATAATATTAACTTTATGTACAGAACCAGTGAAAGGCGGGGCTGGGAACTCATGTGGTTAGCTACGGGATGTTTTATCCCCAGTACAAACCTTCTGAAGGAGGTGATGCAATTCCTTAGGTCCAGTCGCAGCCACATAGCCACAGATTGCATCAGCAGGGTACAAAAGACACTGAGGTACGGTCACAGGTCTTTCTTTTACTGTACACTGAGTCATTGTCACTGCAGTTTATTAATATTCACCTTTTTCGCCTACCGTAACGCGGACAAATTTATCATTACAGAGAACTTTAGTAAACAATATGATAAACAGTAATTAAATGTGAAGGGCAAAATTTAAACTGGGTGAAAATGGATTTTACTGTTGAAAGGCAAAAGTTTGACTGGGCGAAAACTTCGGACTGGGTGAAAACCTCCAGTATACAGTAACACAATGATATTGAATATCTTGAGGATCTATTGTCACCATCTAATGTGTAATTTTAGTACTGTTTGATGTTTTATTGATAACAGTTCAATGGGGATTCTCAAAGAATGGTTTTAGATAGGATACATCATATGTAGTAATAATTGTTACAGAAATATTTAAATTTTCTCTTTCAGTTTTCTTGTTCCCACTAAAACCAATTTAACTGTTAAATATAATGTAAATTGCTCACGATTAAATCGTGTCATCTAAGTTGTTTGATTGAGGTACGTGTCATATTCAGGTTTTTCTGGAGTTTACATGGTAATACCTGCCCTGTAAAGATATTCTCATGCCTTCACGTTAACATTCCTGCCGTAAGATACCCCTGAGTGACACCTCCTAATTGTCGATGGACAGGAGGCTTCAGCAAATAGTGAATGTAATTAGTAGTGGTGAATGGGAGGATGCTATGATATAATTGTAATCCGACATATTTGATTGACAGAAATGGTACGAGGAAGTACGCCCCGCACCAGGTCGAGGTAGAGGCCATACAACACAAGACCACACAAATCCTACACAAAGTCTACTTCCCTGACGACTCGGACGAGGTAAGAGGCAGCGCATCATGTTAGCTTTGTTAGAGCATTCCTGTCTTACATCTCTTAAGTTATAGTTTTATCTCATTTAACCCTAAAGACACATTTGAACTCTTCCAATTCAAAGGTTTGAATAGTTCATTATGAAATTTCAGGGGTGAATGAGTTAAAATTCACATTGACATTAATTTAGACAAGACTGACAGTACAAAGCAAAACATCTACAGATGCCCTTCTTTTGTCACTATACATTAAAACCTCTATACAATAGCCTTCCTTAATCACGATACATTAAAACCTCTATACAATGCCCTTCCTTAATCACGATACATTAAAACCTCTATACAATGCCCTTCCTTAATTACTACACATTAAAACCTCTATTTAATACCTTCCACTTATACAGAGTAATTATAACTGACTATTATACCACTACTTTCATTTGCCTGCCTCACATACTGCCACACTATTTCAAGATAAGCTTCCTTTTGTAATTCCTTCATACACCTTTCTCAATATACTTAATTGTTACCAAATCCCTTTTTTGGTTGAAAATACACTACATGCCATTTAGCAGTATAACAAGGTTGTGTTTTAAATGATCATGCACCATAAATTGGGTTGCAAAATCTTGAAGGATTAATGTTGTTTTGATGAATTTATATAAATTTATTAAAAAAAAATTGTCTTTTTTATTTTCAAAACATTCAACAGCAAAGAGGTGGCTAAACTTCAGCAGATACTAGTTTATTAAACAGAAATATGTTCGTTTCAGGCCTTTGAAGTGGAGTCAAGTACACGAGCGAAAGATTTCTGTCAGAACATTGCCAACAAACTGAGGCTGAAGTCATCGGAAGGATTCAGCTTATTTGTGAAAATTGTTGATAAAGGTAATTCAACAAGCAAGTTATCTCCCCTCTCACACTTTTGAGACTTAAAAAACATGTCATTTAATACAACCATTTCACTTGATTGTTAATTTTATTTTCCAAAAGTTTTGTTGCATATATAAGAGAACCCTTATTTCGGCTATCGTTCAAAATTTAGCAATGTATATTTATAAATCAAAGATGAAATTAGAAATGGAGTATTATTAAATTTAAATTAGGTATATGTTAAAATATGTCACTTTTATCATTCGTTCACAATACAATGATGTATCACTTCTTGAAATGCTATTGTTACCCTGTGAAAGGATTACTATAAAATCATAAATTTTCGTGGGACATTAAATTTCGTTTTTTTTGTGGATAACAAGAATCCATGAAAATTAAATCCCCACGAAAACATTAATTAGGTATGATATAGATGGGGGAAAATCAGAAATCAGCGAAAATCAGAAATCAGAGAAATATAATGTCCTTAAAACAGGCTTGTATATGAAAACCACGAAATTTTAACTCCACGTAAAACAAATGATTCTACAGTATGTACAGATTGTAGTAAGGCTGCCTTTTGTAACTTGGAAGAACTTATTGTGTTCCACTACCATATTACAGATATTGTGAATGTATGTAGCACAAAGACAATAATGTCTATTGCAAACAAAGTTTCTTATGTATATTTGGACTGTATAATAATACTAACATTGATTGGCCTGTCACTCAAAAACATTGGAATCCGAATGTACAATTCAATATAATCTGAACACCCCTGGACTAAGGATTAAATACTTGTTAATTTACTAACACTTGAAAGTGTATTTTTGTATTGTACAGTTGGTGATATGTTCAGTACTTCTGGAACAAAAAACAACCGGGTTATGAGGATCAATCTATAATCAGTGGTGTTCTGCCACTTCAATTTCTACTGTTTATTCCGTATAGATTGTTGAATTCATTGATCTATTACCTACAGAAATCTTTGAAGGAATGTGTCATTTTGTTTCCAGTGATAAGCGTGCCTGAAGGAGACTTTTTCTTTGACTTTGTGCGACATTTGACTGACTGGATCAGGAAAGCCAGACCGAGCCGAGATGGTGAGTACGTAGGGGTATTTGGTTCAGGCATATTTCACATGAACATTCTCAGTGGTATAATTTCTCCACAATACCTGGTACTCATCAATGTCCCTCAATCCTCATCAGTGCCCCCAATCCTCAGACAATGCCCCTCAATCCTCATCAACACCCTGAGGTCAACACCCTTAATCTGCTAAACATTCAATCTTATACCTCCAGGAACAGTACCCCAGTTCACATACCAGGTGTTCTTCATGAAGAAGTTGTGGAGTAACACAATGCCGGGCCGTGACATCCAGGCCGACCGGATATTCCACTACCACCAGGTACACACCATATTGTCACCTAAAATTGTATTTTACTACGAACAAGTTCTGTATATTTCACTGCCCCCAAATAAGGTATACTTCACTACCTCCATAAAAAATACAGTCATCATCTAATAATACTCGACCACCAAGAAAGGTAATTGTCATTAATATATATATTTGACTGTCACCAGGTAATTAAGGGTGATTGCCTGTTATTTTACTGCCAACAGTAAATGTCTGATCATACATTTTTATTTCACTGTCATTGGGCAAGCCAAAATCACCAGGAATAACAAGTTTCATTCTGATTTATGTAATGAAATATATTTTTATGCATTATTAAAATATATTTATATTTTTAAGTAAATTTTCATTTTTTTTTTTTTTTTATGAATGATTTGTTTAATAAATTATGTGATTTATTATAATAATATTTTTATGTGATTTATTATAATAATATTTTTATTTCTAGGAGCTACCTAAATTACTAAGAGGCTACCACAAATGTAGTAAAGACGAGGCTGCTCAGATGGCTGCGCTAATATACAGGGTCAAATGTGGGGACAACAAGAGTAGTCTGGCCAACATCCCGTAAGTAACACTCCAAAGTTCTGGGCACCGAATGTTTAATCGTCATAGATAAAAGCAAGCAGTCTGTTTCAGCATTGCACATACAGAAAACTATAAGAATTGCAGGGACTTGCATGCACACTGGAACCTGCCCTGGACAGCATCAAAACTTTTTGTCTCGCCGCCACAAAGTGGATATTGCTTTTCCGGCGAAGGCGATGACGGCGTCAACATCAAGTTTTTGTGTTTAAATTAGTTTCTCTGAAACTATAAGTGCCACACCAACCAAACTTGGACCATCAATGCATCTTAGGTAGTACATCTCAGCCCATGCATCAAATGCTGGATGCTGCCTACCTTTCATGGTCCATTGACTTTGTCAGCATCTCCATCAACATTAATTGTTTGCGTTTAAGTTAGTTTCTCTGATATGTGCATTGATGGTCAAAGAGGGGCACAGACGAGACATATCAATCTGAATTGCTTGTTTAATAATCTGAGTTTTTTTTCATATTTTAAAGTTATGTTCTTTTATCACATTCAGTTTTAGGTCTTTGATTGTTAATCAATCAATAGCCTTTGATTGTGTGTGATGTTTGATTTTTAGCAGTTGTCAGTCTTTCATTTTGTGTGATGGTTGTTTTTTCACAGGCGGATGTTACGAGAGTTGATACCGGCAGATCTAGTGCGTGTTCAATCACCAGAGGACTGGAAGAGGGTAAGGTCCAGACCAGATTCTAAAGAATTGGGAAATATTATATATTTTCAATATTATAAGAAAAGAAAATTACAAAAGAGGGTAAAAATCAGAGGTGTTAGTGTAAGGGGACATTTTGGTTACATTGCTATTGGATTTTTTTCAAATTAATAATTTCTGATACCTTGCAAAAAACAAATTATAACAAAATATTTCATTGTGTTTGCAGGCTATTGTGAACTACTTCAACCGTGATTCACAGCGAACTCTCGAGGACCCCAAAGTAGAATTCCTTAAAATTATTTACAAATGGCCCACGTTCGGATCGGCGTTCTTCGAAGTCAAGGTACGTGCCACATGCATATCCAACTTTTTGCGGACAGACAATAAGACAACGTCTCACAATCTTGTTGATGTCGACTGATAAAGCTGACAGTTATTTCATGGACGTTGAACATAATACATACACAGTGGATGGCACCTTTATCATTTGGTAATAGATAAGTATACCAGAAATTAGCATTACACTGCATCATACAGCTGTTTTGTCCTTTTAGGAAAAAATGGCTTTACTAGTACTGTAGCTTTACCCCCAAAAGGGGACTGTAAGTGAAGGAAATGATCTGTCTAATTTGTGTTGGACATCTTATCATGTATGCACACATGTTGAGTCTGTAACTAAAGAGTATTCACTCGTAACTTGACATGTATTGCCTGCCTGTATTTATACAAAGACGTGACCGATACATTGTGGGATATTTCAACTTTTGTTCAAATAAAACAGAATGATAAAAAGCAAATTGCTTCGTCAACTTTGAAGCATTGTTGAAAATTTTATATATATAGTAAAACCTTGATAAAATGCCCCTTGTTTCATTGCCATCTTGTTTACTGCCAACAATTTCAGTGCCCCTTTTTCTTGTTTTCTTAAGAATTCCTTTATATATTTCCCTCACTTTATCACCAAACCTCTTTATAATGCCAAAATTTCTCCGGACGAATGGTGGCAGTATAACAAGGTTATGCTGTTTGTAACTATATGACTGTTGATATTATGTTTCTGATTTACTTCAATATCTCTGTTTGATGTTTTTTACAGCAAGCGACAGAGCCCACATACCCTGATGTTCTGCTCATAGCCATCAACAAGAACGGAGTCAATCTTATCAATCAACAAACCAAGGTATGGACGTGAAAGCAAAATATGTTTTAATACCATGAAAATGTTGTAACGAATATCTGGGGATAAAATCGGTAGATCAAAGCTGACATACAATATGTATTTTTGATTAAAATTTATGCAATACATCATTTGAATCACAATTGCCCATTTTTTTTTTTTTTACATATATTAATGTTTTGAAAAATAAAGAAATCTATATCACTTTCGGCCTCTTTAAGTCTTTTGCCGTCTCAAAGTTTTTGATGACTACAGAACAAAAAACAAATGAATTTCTCAAAGCAATGACCTGAATATGAAGTTCTGTATAAATGGTATAGATTATAGTGAGAGCACTCGCTGTGATCAGTGACATACATTTCTTATTTATTGTTAGGTTTTAAGAAAAGAGTTTAGGCAGGCTTTAGAAAGTGTCCAATTCATTTAGCATTGATACATTGTATTTATATATAAAACCCGTATTGTTCCTGTTGCAGGATATCCTGGCCACGCATCCTTTCACCAAGATATCCAACTGGAGCAGCGGTAACACTTATTTCCACATGACCATCGGCAATCTTGTCCGAGGAAGCAAGCTGCTGTGCGAAACATCCCTGGTAAGACACATGTTTGTACAGCTGGGTAGACTGAAATACTGTATACCTGGATATATTTGCCTTGTGAACCTTTCGGTCGTCACAGTTTAAATCCATATTAGCCCTGTGTTAATTTCGCCCCTCACATGCGATTACTTTAATACACAGTGTGATGTGTACTGATATTTGCTCCGGTGATTTTGCCCTCATTACGGGGAGTGAAAATTCACGAAAGTCATGAAAGTCTCATTCAAGGACAATACAACAGTATATTGAGGTACTGATTTCAATCAATGCAACATCAGAAAATCTCATTCTCTGGATCAATGATAAAGTCCAACTCTACCTAAAAACAGGGAAGAAGTGATGTACTATATATGCAACACTGACATTTACAAACTTCTGTTTTCAGGGATACAAGATGGATGACCTTTTGACCTCTTACATCAGCTTGATGTTGACAAGTATGAACCGTCAAAAACCATCGAGACACTAAAAAACCCGCAGTACAATGTGTACATTCTATTTCAAGACTTAGACACTTAAAAAAGACATTTTGGGGTCTCCAAAACTGTGAGGAAGTTTGAGAGGATGAAGATGCTTGTGTAACGGAATTATGTGTCAGCCATTCTTTCTGTGTTTCATATGAAGAGTTCCAATCTCTTTAAATCCGATGAACTTCACCCTATCCTAATGGTAGATATGGGGAACAGAAATGAATCATGTTAATTTGATATTTTTTTTTTGAAGGAGAAATTCTGTTATAAAACTTCTTTAGTCCCTTTTCATATTGTAGAAAATATTATTTATGTATGAATTTCATTCGTTCTTGAATGTAACAATGTCGACTAAAACCTATAATAAATATTTGATACTGAGTTCTACTTACGCTAGTGATAAATACAGCACAGATACAATATTTCGCGATTGTGGTTTATTATAGAAATATAACCATTTATTTTTTACCTAAGTAATCGTCTATTGTAACAAAGTGTCACTTTCCAGTACCTGCATATACTAAGGGCTTAGAGGAACTATGTGTGAAATTGGATCATGTGGTATCCGAGTCAATATACATCTATGGTTACCGAGTGTAGATACATCTATGGTAACCGAGTGGCGATACACCTACGGTAACCGATTGAAGATTCACCTATGGTAACCGATTGTACCTATGGTAACCGATTGTACCTATGGTAACCGATTGTACATATGGTAACCAAGTGAAGATATATACATATGGTTACCAAGTGAGGAAGTACCTATGGTTACCAAGCAAAGATACATCTATAGTTTCCAAGTGAAGATGTATACATATGGTTACCGAGTGAGGACATTCCTATGGTTTTCAAGTGAAGATGTACATATGGTTACCAAGTGAGGACATTCCTATGGTTTTCAAGTGAAGATGTACATATGGTTACCGAGAGAGGACATTCCTATGGTTTTCAAGTGAAGATGTATACATATGGTTACCGAGTGAAGATGTATACATATGGTTACCGAGTGAAGATGTATACATATGGTTACCGAGTGAAGATGTATACATATGGTTACCGAGTGAAGATGTACATATGGTTACCGAGTGAAGATGTACATATGGTTACCGAGTGAAGATGTATACATATGGTTACCGAGTGAAGATGTACATATGGTTACCGAGAGAGGACATTCCTATGGTTTTCAAGTGAAGATGTATACATATGGTTACCGAGTGAAGATGTACATATGGTTACCGAGTGAAGATGTATACATATGGTTACCGATTGAGGACATTCCTATGGTTTCCAAGTGAAGATGTATACGTATGGTTACCAAGTGAGGAAGTACCTATGGTTACCAAGCAAAGATACATCTATAGTTTCCAAGTGAAGATGTATACATATGGTTACCAAGTGAGGAAGTACCTATGGTAACTGAGCAAAGATATACTTATGGTTACCAAACAAAGATACATATATGGTTACCAAATGAAGAGGGTCTATGGTTACCAAATGAAGATGGTCTATGGTTACAAAGTGAAGATGTACCTATGGTTACTGAATGAAGATGTTTTTGAATGGTTACCAAATGAAGATGTACCCGTGGTTACCAAGTTAAAATGTATCTATGGTAACCAAGTTAGGATGTACCTATGGTTACTGAGATCTTTTTACTTGTGAGAGTCTATGCAATACATGAAGACTAGAACCCGTTAACAGTTGTAGTCCCGTCTTTATGAATTGTTGTTGTTGAGTTCAAAGTACCAGGATGATGAAATTATAGAAGTTATGAAGTCTGTATATAGATTACGAATGTAATGATTTTTTTTTCCAATAAAACATTATTATTCAAAACTAATATAAAAATCCCAATTATTTTCGTATAAAATTATTTTTCACCATATTTCTGAATAATGTGACACATTTCTGTTACTATGCAAGTTTAGAAAACAATTATCAAAACTGAACTTCGAGGGTGTGATTACACTGTAGGGTGGTGTTTTCATTTATGTGAATTGAATGGTTCAGTTACTTTTTAAGACGTGTTTTGAATTATATTCTAGCAGGCTTAATTGGTAAAACTGCTAGTAAGGACAGGGCAACTTTGGTGAAAGCTGTCCAATACTGTAGTCCACACCATTAGTCCCTATTTCTCCATCATATTGTCTGCTAAATTTTTATCGTGAGCAAAAACATCCCTTGTAATTTAATGAGTGACAATTTTGTATTTCCGGAAAAAAAATTGAATTAGACATTTTGTAGATATTTAAATAATAATTAATGAACAGAAAATCTTTATTAGTTATTTATGTTCAGAAAGCAAGTACTTAAAGGGAACAGTATTTAGACACTTACTGGTTTTATTCATGCTTAAAAACCTTGTTCCATCAGAGCTGGTCTAAGGTGGAAAAAATATCACTAATTTTCATTTCATTATTATTTTTGGTTTTTCTTTGATCAATTGTTCATTCAATTTCAAATGCTTTATTTCATTATTTATATAGAACTTGAATATTAATTGTCATTTTCAAAAATTCCTCAAAGCAAAGAAGTGTTCAAATATTAATCAGAATCTTTTTGTTGAATAGTTTTGTTCCAATTTTACCCAAATGTTGTATATATATATATGTATAACTATTGATATGGTATCAATAGACTTTTTACCACTGTGATATGCATACATAATTCACTACTATAATGTTGATAAGAATATACCTGGTAGTTTAAACCCGATTTGAAATGTAGACAATATATTACACATATTTTTGTTCACTCGGATTACATCCCTCAAAACATACAAATATATACCATATAGTTATTTAAAAAAAGAGGTAGAAAGTTTCATGTACTGGCATTCATTTTTTTCTTACATATTACTTTGTCTTGAATTTAAAGAAGTTGTCCATTTTCTTTTTTTAATATTTCTTATCAGTTTGTTTTTGAAATCTTCAAATATGTTATACATCTATTAAATATCATAATTCTATATATTATTAATAACTTCAGGTTACATTTATAAAGATTTATTTATGCAACAGTAATGCTATATATACTAGGTGTACGCTATATTTACTGTGTGTAGTGTATCCAAGTAGACACGCTCACTGCCATTGGCTTTTGGATATAACCTGCCTCCATTGGCTATTGGAAATAACTTGTTCCTATTGGCTATTGGAAATAGCTTGTTCCCATTGGCTATTGGAAATAGCTTGTTCCTATTGGCTATTGGAAATAGCTTGCTTCCATGGGTTATTTGAAATAGCTTGTTCCTATTGGCTAATGGAGATAGCTTGCTTCCATGGGTTATTGGAAACAGCTTGTTCCTATTGGTTGTTTGATATAACCTGCCTCCATTGATTATTGAAAAAAACTTGCTTCCATTGGCTATTGGGGAAATGTTGCCCCCACTAGCTATTTGATAAAACCTTCTCCCATTGGGTATCTGATAAATCATTCTCCCATTGGCTATTTGATAAAGCATTCTTCCATTGACATTTTGATAAAACCTTCTCCCATTGGCTACTGGGGATATCCTGTTCTTATTGGCGGATCACTACCAATCACACATAATTATACAATAAAACTACTTCCCTGAGTATTGTGTTATCCTTTTACACCTTTTATTCATGTTTTGTGTGGGAAGTAACTGTAATAAGGTCAAATACTGTACACATTTTACAACTGTATTTTGTCTTTATTTTCTGTGTTGCGTTCCTGCAGGAAACAGTTTCCTATTAATTACACAGTTGTTACACTTTTGAATTGTTAAACGTTGATGCCATTACAGTTAACTGTGTTTCGGTATGACCCGAGAGACATTAATGGTTATTTGATTGCTTTCCTGTGTCCGATAATGCATTAAATGTAGGTGAGAATTTATCATTGCCTGTTAAATTCCCGTCTCTTGTCTCGTCAGTTCCAAAGTACTTTGTCTCAAAAGCAGATACATGACAGAAAGGATTAGAATATATGTTCGCTCAGTTATATAATTTAAATCTCTTAAGATCTATTCATGCTCAGAACAGCTTTTTGTCTCGCCAGGAGAATCATTCATGCTCAACCAGGATTATGCAGTGGGTTTGTGGATATGCTGCACCGATAGTATTATTACTATTGAAAACTTTTCTCCTTTTGTTGAAATGGGGTTCCATGGCCAGTTGATTTCATTTTTACTTCTATTTCAACTGTAAGCCATTCTATTATAATGTTAACTTTTAGGTTGAGTTTGATAAGAATTTCATCATGAAGAATTTCAATATTATAGTAAAATTTAAATCTTTGGGAAATCTCAGGAATATGACACCCTGTGACACCTGATAATTTGTTCGGTTGTTGCAATGTGAAAGACTACCCAGGTTTGTTCATAATTAAGATATATCGCAAGCAGTGAATTTGTTGATAAAATTCTTGGAAAGAAAAAAAAGAAAAGAAAAGTGAGGCTGGATGTCTTTTGCTGTTTAATTTATACAATTTTACCAAAATTTATTTACACCGTTGTACCAAAAAAAATAATTAATTTACGGGATGACAGGTAATTATGTTCCTGAAAATCCAGAAGTGACATTGATATTCTTATAGCTTTAATCTCGCCCCAAAACTTACTGATGTTGAAATACTTTGAAATACTTCATATGTTGAAAGATTTGATCAATTTCCCTCTAACATATTGTTTAAATTGAAGAAATGAGTATCTGTATGTAGATTCCGACGTGTATTGAGTGCTCAAACCATGCTTTATTTAAATGCCTAAAGGTGAAACTTTAGGAAACCACAGGACTGATGTCGACTTATGTAAATTAGATGTCTGATGTCACATGACTGATGTCAACTGTTGGTACTCGCATCCGATGCCAGGTTTTTCCACGTGACTGTTGTCAACTTAATTAAACCAAGATTAACGTCAATTATTGTAAACCAGGTGATCGATGTGAACTATATTAAACCACGTAACTGATGTCAGTTATTATAACCCACGTTACGTATGTCAACTAATGTATGCCGTGTCACCGATGTCAATTATTATGTGACCGATGGCAACTCTTCTGTAAACTGCATTTCTGATGCCTGTTATTGTGAATGTACATCAGACTGTAGATAAACATTGAATCATCACTATATATTTTTGTATTTCATTTAACCATCACTAACTACAAGCAAGCAACTGCATAGATTTACCTACAAGGATGTATACTAAAACAAATACTTGTTTATCCTTATTATCATCACACGCGTTCGGAAATAGATTTAAAATTACCTCCAACAAACAATACAGTTTTATTAAGTAGTAAATTAGCACTCGATGAAAAAATAATATGACAGAAGGGCTGGTTTTCTTGACAAATATTGACGTTTGTTTTCTATCACACACGTACCTTATTAAACAGTTAATCATTCAAGTCGTATTCACAATACATTATCATTCATGGTATAACATTTATTGTGAACGATTCGACGTGACGTCATGGTATAGGAATGTTCTATTAATCATCATTATAAAGACATGAAGTTATCTGTCAATGTAAGCAGACTTGACAGCGTTTAAAGCATACACAATTTTTATAAATAATTCGCATTTTTGAATTTGTTCCAATTTCACTTAGAAGTTTGGGAATCATTTCAATAGATTTATTTAATCTCATATGAAATGAAATAAAAACTCATTTAAAAAGTCATCTAAATATGGTAGTCAATGTATGTTTGTGGTACGCTTTAAATTTCATGCCAAATCATTATCGTATCTACCCACATTTTATACAAGTTTAAGGTGGGCACAGTAATAGCCTCAACACTGTTAACGGTAGTGATGACCAAGGGGTTTTTTTCTGGGAAAATTGTCATTAATGAAATTGAATTCACTGTATCACAAAGATTAATATTACTATACGAATATGATGCGTTATTTGAGATATATACATACTTAATATAATTATATATATATATATATATGATGTTAGCTACTGATGTAACCTGCTATACTATCAATTGTATGTAGTGGAACCTTGTTTAGGGCAGTGTCTGGATAGGTAACATTTAAGTCCGCTCAAACAGGATATGTTGTGGTACGTTTCAAATTCCAGTAATTTCGGAAAATAAGAAAATAAAATTATTCCGGAATTGCTTTTGGAAATTAGAATGTTAGCGAGGTTCCACTGTGTATCACTATTACCTGTAATATTGTCTCAGCATGCAGGCTATTATGTAGTGCTGTACATGTTTTAGCCAGCCAGAATAAACTCTCCCCTATACCGTTACCAAGTCGGTACAGGGTTTTGTTATGTTCCCTTATAAGCCAGTGTTTTTTCAGATGGTTGATATATTGACTTGGCAATTTGTAAAGTATATACCCATATATACATTATGTTTAAATGATTAAAAGGCAATAAGGCAGAAAATTGGTAGTTTTGTTTCATTAATGTCAACCTATTTACATGGAACTCATCCTCGACATCCAGGGGTTACGCTCACTTTCGCTCTCTACACCCCTGGAATATGTCATAGCAAAATTGAAGGCAGAAGATAGCTGTTTGATTGGTCTGGGGTAAAAACGACTTATCAATCGCTAGACTGATACCTGTCCTTAGAAGATTACAAAGGAGGGACGCCTGACTTAAAAGCCTGTCAATTTTTACTGTTGTGTGACCGTGAGATTCTTTTATCAAAGGATCAAACTAGTCTTGTTGTCCCAACCATAAGGTGGCACACACTAAGCCTTCAATTTTGCTATGACAAATTCCAGGGGTGTAGAGAGCGACATTGAGCACAACCCCTGGATATCGAGGATGCATGGAACCCTCTGTCCATAGCATTACCGTACTCATAGCATTGCCTGCAAAATAATACTCTTTATGTGTTGTACCAATATACCAACATTGTCTTCTCTAACGCCTCCCTCGAAAAAAGAAAATACCGAAGTGGCAACAAGTTGTAATCCAAACTCAAAATGGAGGAAAATAGGAGCAAAGGAAAAAAATGACATGGAGACCATTGAAAACAAAAAGAAAAAAAACAAGATTACGTGTTCCAGAATAGTAGGCGTCTTCTGCTTCATCGACCACACAATCATGTAAATCTAGGTCAAATCAAAGTTATGTAAACGTCCTCAAAACGAGAACCGCGGCAGTAACAACCAAACAACAAAGCTCCTCATTGAGCATAACCAAACACATCGCCCTTCATATAGCAGAAATCACATTTCCTGATGATATCATAATGACGACCATATAACTTGACCAAAGTCTTGATGAACCTGCATCTCTGGAAATCTGTTGTGAAGGTTTGTCCTTCATCAGTTGAGTCGACGTCTGTCACGGAAAGTACGATATTCGGAGCTAACTCTTGAAGTGTTAACCGTACTGCTCTAATCATGCTTCTTCGTTCCTTTGCTGATTGATTCTCCTAATACTGGAATATGTATAATGTACTAGTATTTCTTCCATGATTACAGGAATTTCCATTTTTTGTCTCCGGCCACTTCACCAGTGTCACCCCTAATACTGTAACCATGGTTCTCTGCTCCTTTGCCGGTTGTTTCTCATAAAACTATGATATATGTATAATGTACTAGTATTTTCTCCGTGATTCAGGAATGTTCATTCTCTCCTTTCTTTCCATTTCACCAGTTCCGTAACATGGGATCTCATATAGACCAGGCGCCGAGATCATAAAACGGTCTTAAGTCTAACACTGCCCAAAGTTATGACTTAACCAATCACAAAAAACGGCATAAAAAGTGGTGTCATACGTGATTGGCATAGTTAAAACTAAAGTCTAAGATTGTTTCATGATCCCGGGGTCTGGAAGATAATTAGCAGTCGGACAATCTTAATAGACAAGTACGGGGATTCAAGCTTCGACATAACATTACTGTTGCGAAGCTCTGATAACCGGTGGTATATGTCCTGATGTGTGGTTCCTGCACGTTTATCTTCAAGCTATTGTAGCATGTTAGACGGAATGTGCAGTGTCACACTTACTGCGTGTCACTTATTCCCGTCCCAATACCAATGCAACAATGCGTAGCTTACATACGGCACCGGCGGATAGAATGTCCTCAGACTACCGTTGTATATGATCACGATAGGAGTGTTAACGTACCAGCGTTCAACACAGAAGTGGATATAACGTTGTAAAGTCAGGCGAAACACTGCTGTTGATGAAAGGAATACGCTAAGTCGGATACTAATTTAAAGATAACAAATTTATATACAAACATACAACCAATAAACAATGTTTAACAATATATGTTTGTATCAAGTGTATACGGAACATGAGTCAGGAAGGGATACACAGATATGACCAGGATAAAAACAAGACCAACAGAATCCTTCCCCACCTTCGGGTTTGACAGAAAAATCTTAAACGAGGTTTATCTGTCTTGCTTTCAAAGTGGGGAATGCTTATCTTTCTTCAATCTCAAATACAAGTGGTGTTGTTTCCAGCAAATCCAATTAGTTATCGTCTGCCCGGCAGTGAGGATATCTCCGTCCTTCGGACGAGAAAAAGATAACTCTATTCATTTGCATCACAAGTTTGAATTACGTTGCTAAATAAAACGGCTCCGTCCAATACGAAATGGTGATATTTTTGATGACAAGGTACTTATATACGGCTGAGAGGACGAATTAGAGAATACTGTTTTCTAATACTAGAAACGTAACAGACCTCGATAAAGTCACATTGTATAACAAGATATTTAATTAAATAAACCTTACACCGGTTTAATTCAAATATTATTCAACAGGAAAACATCAAATGTAATGTTATACGCCACTTTCTAAGAATCTTTTAAGAATCTTTCAGTTATAATACAAATAAATATTCAATTTTATACAGAATGACACAATTGGAAAACATTGTATTAACATACGATTTTGTGAGGTGCGCGAAACCTAGATGACCGCCGTCCTTGTTGATAAGCTGCTTGAGCCGTAAAAGGATGGTTAATGTGGTCAAGCCTACTACAAACACTTAGATGCCCAGTATGAAGCACAATCGCTAAAATAGTCATGTCTTGGCATAAGCCGTGCACACTGTCCTGGTCTGGTTGCCGCGCTGGATGTAACTCCAACCCACGCCGACTACAGATCCTACGAGACCCAAACCAATCAATGTACATAACAAACAGTTTCAAATTAACGAGCGGCTCAAGTCACACCAATGTAAGAAGACAGACTTAAATATTTAAGAATTGTACAACGCATTAATCCGGCAGGTACATGAACGTAGATGTTATTAAAGACAGTGGCTGAATGGCGATCACAGACATCGTGGAAGGCACTGACGAGACAACATATAACCGTGTTAGATGTAATGATATTGCGACCAGGTTCTGGCTGTTGTCGTTGAGGGTAGATACGGCAGGACGACCTGTGGCATGTTATAGAACTATGGTATTGTTCAGAGTGATGACGAGACAGCGTGATTGGAATCTGGTTATAGTGGTCCGACCTGGTGGCTGTGTCAATTACGCTTAGCGTTCTATGACGTAGTTCAAAGCGTTACCAATTACAATTAGTGCTCAGGGTCAGAATATGATATTATGAACTCCATGTTGAGTTATCGAGGCAATACGCAGGGCCTGTCGACGAATCTCTGACCTAGTTGAAGGAGACGACGAGAGATTATGACGAGGGTCAGTTTAAGGCATTAACACCTGGTTGAGAAAATTGACAAGACAAAACAGGACTATCGCATGTAACACAGATACAGATTTTGTGATATTGGCGACACTAGTGGCTAACAATAATGTCTCGGTCACCCACTCGTCCACGACGTCCTCAAGAACTCCCAACGACACTGGGCCAATTCTTAGTATGACGTCATGGAACTCCTTCACGCTAAACAGACTTTCTGCAAAGGAAAAAAACAACATGTTGAAGTATCTGTTTATATGGTATCGAGTGATTCACTCTTCCTCACGTTGTTATTCATTAGAAGGAAACGTCGAATAAGAGAAATGCATTGCAGATCGTTAAATGCGTCAAAAAAAACTTATATAGACCATGGGTAACACGAGGAAAACAAGATAATACCGATATGTCAACAAAATCGGAACTCTAACTCAAAATTGATTAAACTTGTTAGGGCAGATTCTGAACAGGTCGGGATATACCAAAGTCCTTAAAAATGGTAGTTCTTATTCCCTGCTTAGCATTCAGCATCTAGGGTAATGGCAACAACTGATTCACCCGTTGTAAGTTTAATGTGAACGGGCAGAATGCTGTGTTGGGTGCCTTCGGCATGGTTTTCAGTGAGGAAGCACTATAAAATCGGCACCAGATCTGCGCTATCATAAGGAGGCAAATACACACATACAAACGAACCCTGCTTCCGGCACATATACACTAATGCGCGCATACATAACACACAATAAGTCATCTTCTTAAATGACCTTAGCTGGAAAGGTGTGAAACCCGGAACAACCGACCAACCTATCCTGTCACCCTTGAAAACTATGTTGTGGCTTAGTCAGAAATTCAGTACACAAATGTAAGAATAGGAATTATTTAATTAGCTGTTTTTCTTCATTAAAATGTTATCGCTTTAAGCATTCCTCACCCAATCTCCTCTCAGACATATTGCGGAGCTCTTTGATTTTCATTTCGCCAATCTTATATGCGCATGCGTGACCAGGCCACGCGATAAATTGGTTGACGTCACGTTGAAGTATTTCCTTTGGAAAGCCAGTAAACTTCATCATGTATTCTACGCCGTCATCCCTGGTCCATCTGAAAATGAACAAGACTGTGTGAGATAAGCAAACCGTGGATCTTTCTGTATAACAAGGGACACTTCATTTTGTGTAGGAATATGAATTCTAAAAATTGATATGACGGTTAACATTTATAACGCAGATTCACTTTAGACATAATGTTTGCACTGATAAAATATATCGTTCAAGAAAAGTTTCACAACAAATATAAACAAATTAGTTAATTCATATAGATTGTCTCTTTGTCTATACTATTGCCCTCTAGGGTACAATAAGTTGATAAACATTGGATCCGTATCACATAGGGGTTATAAATGGTATCCTTTTACTGCAACTTGGTATAGGCGTATGTGTTGTCAGCAACATAGTTGAAAATGGGTCACAATTATAAAACCATTGTTAGTTTTCATTTACCTTTTCATATATTGTACAAAGAACGGTTAGATAAGCTTTTATAATTGTTTTACTGTATTCGAGAGTCAACTTTGTCATTGGTCTCTTGTTAAAGTATGTATTGTTATATATTATATAATTATCTTGAAACATAGCGATGATGTCACAAGTGTCCAATAAGTTGCATGAACTGTACAATAATTTTGATCAACTGTCCAATAAGTTACCCATCTGTCTTATAAGTGCTCAACTTATTGGACATTTGTGACATCAAATCTAGAGAAGAGATGGGCGGAGCTAATTTGAAGTAATTTAGCGATATAGGTAAAACAAAATTAAAATGGATTTTAAGTATATTATTAAATCAATATTATATAAAGAATACCAGTAGTGAACTGTCCAATAAGTGAGAGAAACAACAGGTCTCGGCCCCAACGGGCCTCGACAACTGTCCTTTCTCTCAATTATTGGACAGTTTTCGGCTTATACCCATAGCTTAAATGTGTTGAAATAAAGGATCGGATGAATAGTAACATAGTAACATAATTATGCTAGAACATTTTCTGAATTGCCAGGTGATCTTACCCAAACGCATGTATACCCGTATCCACAACTAAACGACTGGCTCGAAACATCTCAAACACATATCGTCCAAATCTAAGCAGGAAAACACAACAGATATCAATATATATTAATCAAATGCTGATGCAAATGCAAAACATGTATTATTAGAAAACAAAAACTCATAATTTAACTTATTCGATTCAGATAGATGATTATTATTTTCATTTTATTTTTACTGCATTACATATATAGTTAACCAGCATTCACCGCACTTTCATCCATTGTTACAAACATCATGAATACGTTAGCACGTGCGGCAAACAAAATGATACAATTATGTATGCATAATTGCATAGATTAGACAATGAAGAAAGAAATAGGCATATTAAAAGATAAATAAATATCCTTTGTGATTTTAACACTACATTTAAGAACGTTTTTCCCATTGCAGGCAAAATACTTGGAACGTTTGTCCTATGGCAGGCAAAACACTTAATATTCCATTGTAGTTTTTCGTATAAACTGTTAATTCCCCCTTCATTTCGTTTAAAGTTTAACTGCAGCGCAACCCTCTGTTGTCCAGAGAGCTCACTAAACACATTTCAGGTCCAGGGTAGGAATCCTTGTATAGCCCTGCAGTATTTTTACACCACCCAGGTCAATGTTGTTATTTATGTGGTAAATTCTGATTCATTATTATCGCTATTTTCATCAATTTCTGGTAAGGTACAGTTTTCTTTTCAGAAATGATTTGTCAAACCAGAAAAGCAGTTTCAATTAAAGTTACAGTTTAAGGCAGTGGTACGGGGATCTTTTATGATGAACTGGACAAAGAAACTGTAAGAAATTTCGATATAAAACAAGTACTAATTAGAAGTCCCCCAACCTGCCCACATAGTCGCAAACATGCAAAAATACACCTGCATACCAAATTTGAGCGAAATTGACCATTTTCTAATTTCGACCAATCAGAGGTCGTAGCGGCCATCTTGAAAAGGAAAGGTCATTTGCACACGTCCTTACCATGATGAACACTTGTGAAAAGTTTAATTAATTTCCGTCCAATGGTTTTTGAGAAAGGTAAGATAAAGAGAANAAGAAGAAGAAGAAGAAGAAGAAGAAGAAGAAGAAGAAGAAGAAGAAGAAGAAGAAAGAAGAAGAAGAAGAAGAAGAAGAAATGGAGTAAAACCGATAACTTTGTTGTTAGGGGACTTAACCAGTAGTAACGTAATGCCTACTTGTTCATATTTCCAAACAAAATAAAATGAAATAAGTAAAGTAACACTCACAGAGTATACGTATCGTTGTAAAGTCCCATCTCCTCACCCAGGTATTCACTGTATAGTGCCCAGCCCTGAAACAAAGACCACACTAGTTATTTATCACTGTTAATGATCACTGTTGTTATAAATTCGCCCTTTTTACGGAGGGCGTAAAAGGCGAAAATTAAACTGCAGCGGAATTTTCCCGGTAAACAGCATGCATTGCTGTCGCATGAGGAACATACTTTATGTATGCCTGTCATGCTCTAGACTAACAACCGTTACTAGAATCTTTAATTTACAAAGATAAAAATAAAAATAAATAAGTCTTATATAATTAAGATCCCATGGATGACTGTTCCTAAGTTGCCAACTAGCCAAAAAAAGATAAGCTAACAGAAGAAGGTAGGTTCGAATTTCCTTACGTAAACTTCAGATCTGGTAGCCAGTCAAGCCACGCTCACGTAATAAACTACCAAATTGCCAGGCCCGGCCCGAGATCATGCAACAATCTTAGACTTAAGTTTTTGCTTAGCCAATCACGTATGGCGTCACTTTTCATGACGTTATTTGTGACAGGTTAAGTCAAAACATTAGACAACTTTAGACTTGAAAGATCTTTATGATCCTGGGGCCAGGTATCTTATGTCATGTATAAAATGTATGGGATAAGCATGCTTAATTGATGCGTGAGCGAGAGGCGTTTATCAAAAATATACGAATGAATATTGAAGGTGACCTTCAATGGTGTCTTCAACTGTTTGGGGGTTAAATCCCGATATGTACCAAGACAGACGGACAAATTTACATGAAGGGTTTCAAAAAGACACAGTTTGCTGGAGACAATGGACAAGATTTATGGTAGCCTTCTGAATCTCGCATGGAAATATACTGTTTTAGAGTGCCGATACATTACTAGGATTCGACTTGTATCTACAAGGCAAATGTCATCGATGAAGCAGAAAACCCTTAACCTTCCGGAACACCTGGTACTATTCAAGTGTCTCCATATAAGTAATTTCTTTGTTCATATTTTGCCCTAGGTCTATTGATTTTGAATTCAAAATTTGGTTATGTTGTCAATTCCGTATCCTCTTGGTTTTTTTTATCTACTTACCTGTTAACTTGCTTTGTGTAACTTAGATCAGTCGGTACGAGACAAAAGACGAGGTTAACACATTTTGTCATCAACTAATGACTCGTTAGGCTTACCTCTATGTATGCCGTGAAAGAAGGGTACATGAACGGTACTGCGTGCCACTCGCCGAACTTGATCCAGCGTCGGTACTTCGGTAGGTCGGGGACATTCGGGTAAATATTCTATACAAGTAAAGGGGTAGATACATGTACGCTATATTTACAAAAGGCAGATATAGATATACTATGCATATTCAAGTGACGTATATTTAACTGATTCAAGTATATACGTGTTAAATGTGGACGCCATTCATTTATACAAGGATAGTCTATACAAATTCAAGGTAGTTAACCTTTACAAATAAAAGGTAGCTATCCCTTCCAACAGACCTTATATAAATGCTCCCTTTCGAAGAAAAAGTAAATATCATGTTCAAATTTGACGTAAATATCCTAATATAAACTGAATGAAAGGAAAACCAAAGTGTTGTTCTCTTAAAAATTATCAATACATTTTCTTTTGCAAACCGTCAAACTTTAAAGCAAATACATGTACATCATACTATTCTTTTCCCTAATATCTGTTTTAGAAGGATTTGTTTTTCGTCCTGAGAAACGACGTTAATTTCTATACTCCAGCAATAGGTATACTAATTAAGCATACCTACCTAGGGATGACTATACATGTATATGGACTTCAATGTCACCATATTTACCTGCACGTGATGACCGGGATTAGCTATACTCCAGCAATAGGTATACTAATTATAGTGATCAAATGCTGCCCACATAATAATACCTACCTAGGGATGACCTGATATGGACTTCAAGGTCACCATATTTACCTGAAAGTGATGACCGGGATCAGCTTCGTGTAGGGTTAGTGGCATCATTATGAAAACCGGTCTAAATATGAAATAAAACAATGATGCATCACCAGAACACACACACACACGTGCACACACACACACACACTACACACATATATATATATATATATAATAGAAGGAAAGGAGCAATCCTTTATAATAGAGCTTTAGTTATGTACATATATACAGTAATAGCAGGTTTATTCCATTTGTAGGTACGTACTCTTTTAAAATTATTAACATACATGTACTTTTATTAACAACTCGAGTAGATGAGACAAGAGCTTTTTGCCCATTTGAATGAATTGTTAGCGAGTTTTGTCAATCTTGTATGAAGTTGAGATCATGGAAGATGCTATATGAATATACATAAATGTTATTATAATAATATTTGGTAATGTGCCTAACTGGCTTATCATAATTATAATGGAGATACTATCCATTCATAATATTAGAAATGTGACTACGCTTTGAGTTATGAATGGTCAGAATGACCTAAAGTCGATATATAAAAATTATTAGAAAAAACGATATGGGTGACTCTTTCATATCATCATACCAGACTTGAAAATCCGATTCATTTTCTGCATTTACATGTAGAGAACGGGTTAATAAATAGATTATGCTGATGGTGGACAAGGGATATTTTCAGTTAAAAATGGCAAGGAATGACAAGGAACTTCATCGTATGAGCAAATTTGGTAACCAATAAGTTTTACATTCACTCATTTATCTCTGAAAATTCATAATGAACAATTCCAACTATTGAATTGGAAGATTTCAAATGTGTCTTCAGGGGTAAATAAGTTAAGATAAGAAATTCCCACATTATTTTTTCTATATGAACTTGTTACAAATACGCCTAGAGATACATACATTACCATTGTGCTATAATATAAAGGAAGTTTTACACGATTAAAACCTAAAACATTTTAAAAGTATTCTTACTTTTTTTCTGCCATCAAAATATTCACGCCGAAGGTTCCGTTATTATATCCTCCCCACGGAAATCTCGCTAATCTTGTTCCTTCAACTCTAGAAACCAAACAGAAAGATTTAGGTCAACTGTTCATGTAGCGTTAGCTATTATATTCATAGCGGTAACTCTTACCCGATCGTAGCGGTATCCGTACGGGAATATACAACAATGTACGGGAAAATTGAAGAAAATTCACTGACTTTGAAGACATGGTAGAAAAAACCGAAAACATGTTTTGGCCTGTGATTTCATTGCATACAGTTTACATATTCACTAATCACCAATTGTTTTTCCATTTGCATTTAAATATAATCTATATCATATTATTTTCCTAAACAATTCTTAAACTTTATAATAGATTGTGACGCTTGGCTACCTTTAGCAGGCATTCCCCCTTCCTGAATAACAACGACTAATGGAGGAAGAGACCAAGATTGTCATCTATACAACCATGTGTTCACACAAATAAGGAGAAAGATATGAACAAAATCACTCTTAAGCATGAAGACGTATTCCAAAAATTATTAACTTCGACTGAAGCGATCATTTTGAATTACTTACTACGTGGATACATACCTGACAGGAACGTGCTCTATGTCTTTGAATACGGTCCATAATCGAGGTTCAATCAGTTCATGAATGTTATATTCGTTTTCTGATATCAGTTCCTCCTATCAAAAATAAAAATTAAAAAAAAATATGATTAATTGTGATCATGACGTCCAGCAAAGTCAATCTAATTGAAACTATGAAAGCTGAACGCAACACATATGCCTATGCTTGCACCTATAAAGTGTCGTAATAGATAAAGTTAGCCAAAAATAAACTACACGGCGCCATACAGCTGTTTGGTCTTTTGTAGGATTCATCGATGTTACCAGAGTCCTAAAGTCCATATTGGTCTAACCTTCTCTTTAAACAGAAGAGGGGGTGCGTGAAACAAAATAAATCATTATTGTATATTCAATAGAAAATATACGCCCAGAATCGTGATCAAAGATGCAAAGTATACACAATAAAGATTATGAGGTGAAATATTAGCAAAATATTTACCTGTGTGAGGTTGTATAGACCAGGAGCAGTTTTCAGATGATGAAAGAATTCAATTAATGTTCCGTTGAACTCTAACTTATCCATCACCTGTAAACAAACAAAAAATATATTTTAAAGAACTTCATTTTATGTTACATCGACATTTACGTCACAATTATGTCATCGGCAAAAGAAATGGTATTCTACGTTGATGATTCATTTTGAAAATTTTATTCAGACTTGGGCATTCGTTTTAAAGCTTTAGTCAGCGCATATAATTTCAGATTTAACATCCGAGATGAGATATCTGGTTCAACTACTTCAGCAACACTTTCAAAGAAGGAGACATCGTTGCTAAACGTCTGACCTGACTTTTCTGATTGGGACAGACGTTATGTAGGACATAACCAGAAAATTTAAGTCTGAAGTCGTACAGCATTACAACGTCATTCATGGGAGGGCGTGTAAATTATTGAAGTATGGGAATATTGTTAAATGTTCATGAATGGCTGGTTGTTAAATCTGATTATTGCATGACTGGGTGATCGATATTTTATACTGGCTAATACCAGATATAGGTAAATGATGGTTGATGTTAAATCCTGCTAAGTATCTGTACGTGTGAATCTATTGCACACTAATAATTGAGAAAACAATCTAGAAATGGATTTAAAACATGATTCGTAAAGAGACAGAACGGTCGAAGCACATGTGGGTTCTATATACACAATATTGAGCTCAGCAAAGCATTGGCTTTTATCAGAAATAGTTCTTTTGTAGTTCGTTACAATTAGCCAGTGTTATGCACCTTTTGCATCTCCAAGCGGATACGTCTCACTTCTCTCAGTCCAATAGCATGCACCTTTTCAGCTGTCAGTGGTAGTCCTGTATGAAACTTGAGACACGCCTCATAGTATTCCCGTCCTCCTGGTAGTGACGACACACCCGGCTCAGGTCTTGTGTTCGGTAGGTACTCCTTAATATAAATATCACGATAAGATAGGATTGTTATCGATTGCCTATGGATTTATTGCCTAGTTATATTGAAAATATTTTAAAATTTCTAAAACAGCACTGTTCAGGAAATACTTTATTAAAGGATTCGAGATAACATATAGCTTAACTTTTAGCGAACAAAAATAAGACAAAGACAAATGGGAATTTCTTCGTATGCAGGAATTACTCTATGCCCGTCACGTATTCACAATTCATCGCAGTGTTATTCCTTTTGTCTTCGGTAAAAGCAACACTACCGCAGCGCAAATTGCATGTCACTGGTAAAATCTACATCATTGCTGTGCTAACATAATCCCATGCTAATAAAAACCGCATAGCCTCAGTGTAAATTCAATCTTTTTCAGGTGAAAGGACATCTCTGCAGTGTTAATATCACCATTTATAGTTATATGTATATCTCGTCATTGTTTTAAAATTCCTCGCTTCATCAGTAAATTTACATTATTTCAGCGCTTATTTCATCCTTATAACTTAATTCACACCATAGCAGTGTAACGATAACCTTTCAACGATACAATGCACTACGCCGAAGATTAAAGGGCCTGTTTCCAGTAATGTTAATCTATGGAGCCTGCCCCCGTATAATTTCTTATCTAGCTCAACTACTGTTTTTTTCTTTTCCGAAGAATAATTTTACACCTTTCCGACACCCAGTTTTCATAATTTCAGTGAAAATGTATTTTTATAAAGTTGTCAATTTCAGCATCAAAGACATAAGTTCGTAAATAAAAGGTTATCTCGAAATTGTAATTTGCAACATAGTATAAATTTCTTTTGATAAATATTTCCAAAACATCGTGTTTATTCATAAAACATAAAAAAAAATATTCTCGGATGAAAATGCACTTGCAGAGACACAATTATGAAGAAAAATGCCATAAAATTGCAATTTTCTCCCGTTATATAGTTTTGGATGCAAATTTCCATCAGAAAATCGGATAGAGCTTTACTTGTTTCATATGTGTACCAAAAATCAGCTAATTCCATGTGGTGGAACGTTCTCATATCGCCGCCTGAATGTGGTTGTAAATTGAAAGAAAAGGGGAAATGAGTAACAACCTTGTCTGAAACCCTATTATATAGCTTATTATATACAAACTTTTATATTGAATATCAGAGCGGATATTTTCATGACAGTTTTATGATGTGTAACGACTAAATAAACAGTATCGATATAAAGATTTACACTGAGGACACCCTGATACATGAATACTGTTCTATCTCAAGTTGTCCTCTTCTGAATTTTCTGATCGTGTGGCCTTGTACATTTATCCGTATCTTCTTGTCTTTGTCTATACGTTTACGGAATCATTGACTCGACGCTAGCTATTCTTGTCTCACTTTCCTTGTTTTATTGTCCCATCTCCAAAGCGTTGTGGCTCTGTCAGGGTTGGGACCCTGACTTGTCTCACTTTCTTTGTGCCTGCCGACCACGCCACATCGAATAGATAGATTATCCATATGAAATACTTTATTTTGTTCTAAGTAATCAATCAATTCTGCGCTTCTTGGAGGTATTGAATGTGATTTATTATATTGTCTTGTTATTTTGTGTAATTAGTTGTTCGTTATTTATCACACATTTTCGCATAATTGTACCAAACTACTAAGTATTAGCTGTTTACAGCAATCATCGGTGGCTTGCTATTTTGTTACTTTATCGACGCTTCATAAACCAATCGTTATTGTTTCAAGATGGAGGGTAAATGTGTTGGAGAAGGGTGTCAAGTATACTTCAAGAAACGTAGTGGCAATAAGAACAGAAGTGCACGCAATGTAAATAGTCCACAATATAAATGGCTCCTAGATACGCTGGTGCAACAAGGATTGATGTCAGCAAAGGAACAAGCACTTATTTGCCAGAAGTGCTACATGAAGTATCTTCGGAACAAAAATCAGCCTGAACCTGAACCCGAGCAGAACCAGGAAATAGAGGAAGAAGACGACTCCCCGTCCCATATCCTGCCGTTGCTGACCCTTCATGATCTTTTGAATGGATCATCTTCACACAAAAAATGCTGTCTCTGTCTTGTTACCTTTGCAAGAAATGGAACAAAATCATCAGTCTTACCAAAACGTGCAAGACATCACCTGATCTATTCACACAAACTGTGGTGTCCCACCTCATCCCGCGTCTGCTCCATTCACCTTATTGGTAACGACTTAGATCCGTCTACAGAGGTTGTCCTTGATGGTAGAGGTTCCTTGGAATCTCAGTTACCATCAAAATCGTCCGAAATCATTAATGACCTCCTAGAGGTGTCGCACGTCCTTTCACAGAACCAGTCTGCGTTTACAATAAGCTTTTCTTCTCTTGATGACTCGGCATGCATGGCCTGGACAGGTTGGTCCAAAGATCAGTTCCTCGAAATCCACTCGCACTGTTCCCCATATCTTTCATCTGGTATATATACCAAGACTACACACGATGCTCTATTACTGTTCTGGGTAAAACTGAAAACCGACATTTCCTGGAGTCAGTGTTCTTCTCTTTTTGGAATTTCCAAGTCAAGTGTGTCCAAAACTTTCCACTCCATAGTACAGGCATTAGACACATCGATAGTCCCACAATTTCTAGGTCCGGATCACTTGACAAGAGAACAGTTGCTCGGGCACAATACTGTCTTTTCAGAAGCATTTTTTGGAGATAAAGCCACTGCCATATTAGATGGCACCTATATTTATATCCAGAAAAGCTCCGACCACAAGCTCCAGAGAATGTCCTACTGTGGCCAGAAGAAGAGAAACTATCTCAAATTCATGAGCATCGCCTTACCAGATGGCTACATTCTGGACACAGTAGGACCATTCACTGGCAGCGAAAATGATGCTACAATTACAAAAAAAGTCATGGACAAGCTAGTTACTTGGCTACAACCAGACGACAACGTTGTCGTTGACCGAGGTTTTAGAGATGTCCTACCAGTTCTCGAAGCCTCTGGCCTCAATGCTAGCATGCCGTCATACCTGAAACCCGGTCAAAGTCAACATTCTGACGTCCAAGCAAATCTTGACAGAACTATCACCAAATCGAGGTGGATTGTGGAATCCTATCATGGTCGTCTGAAACACTGGACGTTCTTCCGAACGCAATTGGTGTCTAACAGCTTTATCAATGTCATCGAGGCTTTGCTTCGAACCGTCACAGCCTGTCTGAATGGTATTAGAGGACCGATCTACCAGAGATCTCCAGAGAGAGATGCCAAAGATAGGCTAATGGCTGAACGTATGAAGGACCGTTTGACAACACCGAATGGTTTAGCTCAGAGAGTCAAGACAGATCCGGATCTATCTAGACGGGCAAGGTCCGAGTTTGTCAAGATGGATGCATCTTCCGTACTGTTTCCCCGTCTCGATCTTGATTACTTGAGAACCATTACGTGTGGAACGTATCAGATATCTCTGGCTCCTGGTTACATCGCCGAACATTTAAGTGATGACGGAGACTATGAGGTGTGGCTTTACCAGCACTCCCCAGACCTTCTCCGATGTCAAATACATTCTCGACACAAAAGCCAAACGAAATATAACGTTTGGATACGGTTCACCGTTTCACCCGATGTTGAGGCCCCAATAAAGGACTACTACTGCCAGTGCCCAGTTGGAGAGAGAACGATGGGAATGTGTGCGCACATCTCCAGTATCTTGTACTACCTTGGGTATTACAGGACGCTGGAAAACCCTCGACCATTACAACCACAGGTAAAGAAATTCCGACAAAACTTGAAATAGTTTTCCATGCGGCAACGGAGTGCATATGTCGAAAGTATGTTTGGGGCTCGATATGAAAGATCCCCGTTACCATGTGACTAACCAAACTTATAAATATAGGTATTATACAATCGCCCGTAGCTATGAACACTCCCGTAAATGCGAAAACCAACCAAAATCATAAGGAACACGTTTTGTTTGTTGTTCTGTCTATTTGTCAGCCAATGTCTTCAACCACGGGGACTTGTGAAGTAGCCATCTTGGATTTTTTTTATGAAAAAGTGTTTCTCTCACTTTTTTTCATATCTGTGTACATATTCTCAACATACCGAGCAAATACTCTCGTTTTTTTGTTAATTATCTAAAGAAAGTCGAAAATCGGCAATTCAACCATAGGCTAATTCAACCCAACATTTGAAAATGTTCCACCACTTACATTTTGATGATTTTTCCTCTCATCAATAGCATATTACGTACTGTTTAATAGGATAAAAATTGGTTTGCATCCAACGCCCATAAAAGGGTGTATTCTCTAAAAAACACAGTTTTTGTGTCTAAAATGTTATCATCGAAAATGGCATTTTTGAGATTGTTTCTTCCATAAAACAGCCAAATGGCGCGATGGAAACATGATTTTTTGTCACAATTATGCCATGAATGTATTCTTTACGGTGACCAAGTTTTGATTAGATTTTCATTAATATTTTACATAACATGCACATTTTATCAACACTTAGACACAAAGGTACAACTTTGAGGAGCCATAAAAAACAAACCAAGTGACCTAAATCTTTATACTTTATAGATTTGTGACCACAACGGCATGGGCAATGCACCACCAACAGGAAATTTGAATCAGAGAAGGGGCCGTTTTGGAAACCGGCCCTTTCCACTTTCACCAAGTATAACCTACACCAGTTCTGTGCCGCTACTTACCGGTACAAACAAAATCACAACGGTGTCAATTTCGAATTACACTGGTAAAATAATCCACATTACAACAGTGTTGTTTTCACCCTTCCCTGGTTGAATACACATCACAGCAGTGTTCAATATCGCGGTTCACGTTAGGTTCACATAACCTCAGTGATAAGTTCATCCTTTATCGGTATTTTATCATTAACTGATAAATCCAAGTTACTGCAGCGGTGATTTCAACATTCACCGGTAATACGCACATTTAATTTCACCCATTACGGCAAAATCAACACAACCGTGTTAGGTTTTTTTCACCCTTCACGGGTAAAATCAATGTTACTGCAGCGCTGATTTCACCATTCACCAGTAATATCCACATTAAATTTCACTCTTCACCACAGGGTTAATTTCGCGTCCACCGGTGAAATTCACATGACCGCTATTTTAATTTCACCTTTAATTGGTAATGTTTTTTACATTACCAAAGTGTGAAGCTCCTTATTACAAAAATGTTAATTTTGCTTTCCACCTTGGAATTACTCTGCAGAACTGTCTAATCTAATTTTCAATTATATATATAAAATTTCAGAACGAAGGGCAAGACTTGCGAGCGGCAAACATTCTCGTTTTGTGCAGTTGGCTAGTCAAAACAGTTCATTACTGTGTATCTATGTTTTTGTCATGTCATAAGTAAACATGTCGTTTATAATCAAATGACAAATTATCATTTAGATAATGCAGTATCTAGGTATATCCTTTGTTACCTATACTGGGTATTTATTTATCAATCATTATCTGTTATTCATCTTTGTATTTTCTAAGCAAGGTCAGACGTACATGTATTTGTAATATATTACTAGTCTTTTCAACATGTAAGTCGAGTTTTGTTTTGTTTTCATTTAATCAATTATAAACACAATCACACTAATGCAATCCAAACATTATTAACTAGGATCAGGTATGTCATTGATATATATTTCACTACTTACATTCATAAGGAACCTCCGAACAGTATCTACAGTGTCTTGGAGCTTACTCAACAGATGGTAAATTTCCATTTGGTCATCTGACGGTCTAAAACATTAGGTACAATGACATAAAATACAGTTCAGAATAGCAGCTATCATCTATATGCTACTTTCTACCACATGATCATTTTTTTGGAATTGGTTGTCGGTAAGCGAGTACTCAGAAATGAACGCCTGCTTGGTCAATATGTTATTTAGTTGACCTTTTGTGAATGGAGAAATATAAATGAATGAAGTATATAAATGATGAACAGTTCGCACGTGGTCAATCTCGCGTCCACCTGCGGTGCCTTCTCGATTTTACCCACGTGATCCCGATGAGAAAATTGTACTCACGACAAACTCTAAAAACACAGTGTGATAATCTATAAGTCCAAGCTATAGTAACAGTATATACAGAAATTAAATATGTAGAACAGGCAATAGAAATAGATGTTTTAGATGTAAATTCACAAGGATTTACATGAAGCTGAAATTTTCTTTAAAATATGAGAGAGACAAAATGAAGATAGTTTGAACGTTAATTTATGTTTTTTTGTTTAAATGTTGTTTGATTATTTTGTGTTTTGAATGTTTATGTAATGTTTGGGTTTTTATCAGATATTCGGGTAAATTCATGGGAAAAAAATTAAGATCAGTTCAGCTATGTCATATTTCAATGTAATACACAACTCACATTTCATAGAATCTTTCCGGCTTCCGAAATAACAACATCATATTATTGAACCATTCATTCATTTCGTGTGTGCGTCCCTAAAATAGAAACAAGTGAAAAAACTAAAACAAACAAACAACAACAACATGGAAAAAAATCAAAACAAATAGAACTTCGTGCACTATTGGCTCCTTATATACAGAACAACTGAGTGTTCAGCAGGGTGAGCTCTTTAGACCTGAGGCACCTTGACGGATTTATGTCGGTAACAAATATCGTATCAGCTCCTTTTGTCAAAACTCAGGGTCACAGCTCATTGGAATGTAGAAAGATTGTCGGAATATTCCTTCACTTAATTCATCAATGTTAACAGCGCCATTAATATAAGATCTTGCTGTCAAAGTACAAGGTGTTTGCCAGTTTCAGATACAATTTTGAGATAACAAAAATCCTCAAATGGTTAATTATAGGGTATCCGAATATTTCGAGATTCCCTTTATTTGAAGATGAAAATGGTTATAATAAAATTGAGCGTTTTTCTGTAATTTTTGTATAGCAGCGAAGTGTTTTCTTTATTTTTTTGGGCAATATGTAAAAGATTTCGCTAAGGAACGGTGAATGCAAGGATTCAGATGGAACAGATGGATCCAAGTGATATTTTACCTTAAAAAATGGGAAGCTAACCTAGGTGTTACAAAGAAAATATTGAATAATAGTGAAATTAATTATACTAACCATCGCATAGATATGATTTGTTCTGTTCAGTTCTATGGCCCTCCTCATAAGGTTGATAAGGTCTGCTGCCTGCGGAGGAAATAATAATAATGATAATTCGAGGTTCTTATACACCACTTCATCACAACCTAGTTCGTAGGTTGTCTCAAAGCGGTTCACAAATTATCATCCATTGCTATAGGGCCTTTGCAACCAGCAAATATATTTCTCAACTCTCTTGGGAGCATACAGCCGGTGCTGCCATTTCGGCGGTCTCATTTACAGCTGAGTAGACTGGAACAAGCAGAGTAAAGTATCCTGTTCAAGGATACAACACAGTGCTGTGACGTGACCCGAACCCGCAACCCTTCGGTCACGAGCCCGGCGTCCTACTACTAGATTATCGTGCCTCCTGAAGTAAAGGTTAATTTCATAAACTGTAACTTTTTACAGCAAATCGATTTATTTTTATTTTTTTACTGTGACAAAATTACTTATTACTTATTTTTTAAACTTAATGATGAGATTCTATCAGAAATTATCTATTCGATAAAAAAACTTACATCTTCACTGCATATTTTCACATTTGACGATTTATTTTTTACTGTTGTCTAATCATAACGGCACTTTATATTCACTGCGTATATTTTCAGTTTCAAGTTCATATGGGCCGACTTATGGCAGAATAAGCGGCTGTTTTGATACACATTTGCAACACACATTGTGGTATTAACATAACTTCACAATGATAGGATTTTTGTTTCTACCTCCAAACAAACGATACCAGTAAACGCTAGAATTGGGATGAGTATCCCATCCAAAATGGCGCTCTGCCTTGTTTTCAAGCATGACTTCATAGGAACCTGGCGTCTAATATTACGCTACTAATTCCCTTTTTCTGATACAGCATTATTTTCGTCGTGTTACTGTAAATTTTCAAAAAAGCAACATGACAGATACATTTTAATGATTTTCCCGTCGAATACCATATTTTTTTCATATTCGTGGATATATGATAGTCGGCGGGAAACCATGAAAAATCACTTACATATTTCACTCTTCGATTGAAGACTTTGTATGTACATGTTTTTCATCCCATTCATGATATATAACTGGTTTTCATCAAGAAACCAAGAAAAAAGCCATAACTGTATATTAACCGTTGTTTTTGAAACGACTATCGAAGTTTGATTGTATGTTTATGCTAATAAGAAGTACAAATGTCATGGCATTCATCCACAATAGGAATATATTTAGCGTATCATATGTAATTATAGTACATTTTGCTTCATAAAACAATCATAGTATATTTCTAGCTGTAGAGAAGGTACAGAAATAGTATTGGCCTTTCCGTGCCCTTATCATTTCAGAGTGAGTAATGCCTTGGTTGCGTTGAAACCTAGTGGAACGTTAATTGGATTAAGAACTGATGTAGTGAGTTGTCATAATATATTGGATTAAGGTTAATAGTTTGGGCGTAGCAAAAACATTTTCTTCACCTATGTTTACATCTGTTAGAGTGGGAGACGGTAACTGGTTCACGTAGTTCTCTAGAACAGACACAATTGTAAGCATTCCTGCGTATTAGCTACTCCCGAACCTACTGCACCAGCATCCTCGATATCCAGGGGTTACGCTTATGTCAGGCTCAGTGCACGCCACCTTCTTGATGAGAAGAGAGGACTAGTTCGATCCTTTGATATACATCAAAAGAATATCGCGGTCACGGTACGGTAAAAATGTACAGGCTTATAAGTCGGGCGTCTCTACTTTGTAATCTTCAAATTTGACATTTATTCATGACGTATTACTAGAACTTACAAATGAGAAAACTTTCAAAATTGCATTTGGTCCAACTCAAACAGGCGCGTTTGGTGGTCAGGCGGAGTATATCGATATTGGTCAATGTCCCGTTATCAAATGTTTTAGAAGAGTAGGAAGTAAGCTAACCAGATGCTTACAATTTCATTTCAATATATACTCATGGCAAGCTGAGCATATCGTAAAAGTTGATTAGTTCTGTTTACAATTCTGGTTATGTCATGTACCGTTCATTCGACGATCGTTTATTAACGAATGGGTGTTTTATTTCATTTGCGGGTTGATAAGATGTAAGTTTTATATATAGAGTAAGAAACGTGCAAGGCTATTTACGACAAATAGTAAAATTTAGTAAAGTTTGTCAATGATCTATAAATCCCTTTATACGTGCAAGAGATATCATGTTATTTCCGTTAGAAACGGGGCTCATCGCGAATATAGCATGGCTCTATCGCCTACTAGAGCATGATTCGTATCCAATAAAACACATTGCTGCAAAGCATTCTTATTATAACACTATTTAAAAAATACTTTACCAACCTGTTTTGGATAACCAACGAATCGTCCGCGATATCGTTTAAAATGTTTTTGTAAGTCTCCTTTCGGCAAAAACCAGCTGCTACTTTTTGAAAATAATGACTCCATCACATTGATTGGATTAAGTGTCCCGAATCTGAAAAAAAACAACAATATCAATCATTATAAAAAAATGAACAGGTGATGTTATATTAAGAGTGAAAATATATAAATAAAAAATATCAAATAAGTATACCGTAGTAAAGAAAATATGACTTTTAACTCAATAATCAATTGATAATGATAACAATTTCATACTACATGTAACTCTGTTCAAGCCAGATTACACCCCTGTATTTATATCTACACTCACTCGATAATAAATAGGCAAAAAAATGAATATAGAGATGATTTCTATTGAGAACCTTATATAACGTACAAAGAGAATGAGACCAGGTGTCCCGAAATGATAAGCGTCGTCTGCTTTATCGACGACACCCGTCATGTTGATCTAGGTGAAATCCAAGAGATATTACGTCCTCAAAGCAAAATCGGGGAGCGACAAGGAAACAACTAACTACGTTATCGAGTATAATAAACAACACCAACCTTCCTATCAGACAAAGAAATACTGTATTTTGTAATAAGATCATGATGACGAACATGAAACTGACCTTTATACTTTTTCAAACAGCATTTCTAGAGAATGTTGTAAGTTTGTCGGTAACCAATCAACATCTACCACAAAAAGCATGACATCCAGACCAACAACTTGAAAACCGAATCAACTACGACATATTAACAACAAATTTGCGTACTAGGGATGTTACTATCAAGAAAGGGAACAATATGATAAAAAATGAGTTGTTACGTTTATCCTACGGCATAGAGGTAAGACGCCCATGTTGGTCTTGTTGTGAGTAGAGAACTAATATAGCATCTGATGTAAAATACATTGTAGCATCACTGATTTCAAGTTAACGAGGATATAAACGAACGACGTGGTCAATAATTCTCGGTTAATAAGGATAGTTTATCGTCTATATAACAAGTTTTCTGTTAACAGTCCTATTTAGCTCTTCAATAAAATCAACTGAAAAATACTTGTTTTGTGAACAAAATATATAAAAATAAATCATTGCTGTTTTCAAAACAGACAACTTAATGACGTTGTTTGTGTTGGGGTTATTCATCAATTATATAGAGATGCAATGCATTATTGACATATTTACTTTAGGATCGCAGTACCACTGCCAACTCTATTCCAACAAAGTATTCGACATTGGGTTTTTTTCAGGTATGACTATAGCTTTGTTAAATCATTTCTGGAAAAAAACATTACTTGTAGGACATTTATGAGAAAAAAAACAAAAAAACACATAACCGAAAAATTATCAACAAAAGTATTCTGTTCTGATTGTAAAAAAACCCAACTCATACCGGCATTCGAACCCTGCAGTTCAGATTGTGATGCTGTTGCACTTACCGATTAAACTATCCTCGGTCAACTGTACTACAATTATATCCTAACGGAAGTTAAGAAGAGGTTAAAGATACTGTTCCACTGTACTGTGTATAGGATAACCAACAGTGCAGTGGTATACGGATCCTTAATAAGAAATAAATAAAACATCCTTCCGTGTTTTTGTGTGTGTTTTGATTATACATACCTTACGAATCAATCATAACGGAAATATTTCCCCTTCTGGTCTAGCAAAAAGTCAATACTTGGCACGGAAATATTAGTTTGGATGTAAACATTTACATATTCTGTATCTCATAACATTACATTAAGTTGCCCATTAGAATGTAGCTCAGAGCTACATGACACTAATGATACAAGAAGTCCAATTTTCAAACTGAATTATTCCGGGACAAACAGGAAAAAAAAATCACTGTTTTCTTGTGTAGATCTTATTACCCTCAGAACATGTAGGTTTTATTTTAGATGGTCTGGAAATAAACATTATTCTCGTTACTTACTTAACTGAAGATGAGATCCCGTTAAATGTAGGAATATTAAAGAATTGTTATCATACTTTTCATCGTTGTGTGATGAGAATGAATCTGTTTAGCTATGAAGTCGAAATTGACCAGAGCTTCGACATGTAAGTTGAAACACACAGTGAGTGTCGTTTCTTTTTCGCGGGGCGCTAATTTTCGCGGTGTCCACTGAAATGGTTTTTTTCTGCGAAACATGCAACCCGCAAACATAGTGGGAATTTAATATATTCCTATTCTAATTGTGTGTCATGGCTAAAATACCTAAACTCCGCAAGATGGCACGGATAGATATCGAAAAAATCTTTTGATATATAAACTAGCATATACTTATAGTGACCCTATGGAAAGCTAAACATAGACGTACTTTCGCCACTTGTATCCCTCCAGGAAAGTTTGTAAGTGATCCATGAGGATTGTGTATCTCATCTTGTGCTGTCTGGAAAGCTTGTGGAAGGTGATGGAATGGAGTTCAGTAACCAGAGCTTCGTTAGCAACCTGTTCAAGATAGGGAAACACATTGCGACTAATATGTATTGTATACGTTTCATCTCATAGCATCATGTGATTCGGCTTTGATAGTGACTTCTACAGTATATGCCTGTTCAAAAAGACCCATTAAGATCATCTGACAAATTATTGTATCACCTCCGACAGCTGCAATCAAGGGGAAAGACTTAACATTTTGTACTGTAAAAATAAGATAATGATAGCGATAGTAACATAATAATCATCCAGACGATTTTTGTTATTTCTAGCATCAGTCGGCTGAGATTAAATGTGTATATAATTAACCTTTCTCCTTGAGAATGCTTCCTGTGTATATTCTGTCAGGCTTTGGTCATACACATCACATCCGGTTACTGTAGCGAATTCTGGGTATTCCTGTAACACATGCTCAAACAATCGCTCCTCCAATGCCTCTAGTTTCTCGTCTTCAGACATCCCCCCTGCAACACAATAAGATTATTATAAACATTTTCTCAAACAGGTTTGATGTTAAAGCACTGGATGTTGAGAACCACTGAACTAACTTTCAAAGACTACCGACACGCACAGGCGATTGCACCCTAAAATATGGTAAATGAAACTGTATATCAGAATTGAATTACACTGCGCCATACAAATGTTTCGTCCTTCTAGGTTTCATCGGAAACATAAGGACTCAAAACCCGGAAACCCAAATTGGTCCAAACGACTGTTGAGGGGAAAATGAATAATATTACTTACAATCCTTGTAGAGAAATCCCACAATCAGTGAAGTAGTCCTATGAAATATACCAGCAGAAGTATATGGCTATATGCTTTCAAAGCTGGGGTCAACATTTGGCCCCCACTTTGGTTTCCTTTATTCTTTTGCAATATGTAGATACATAAAAAATGTTCAATAACTGCATAAATGATTATTCATGATTGTTATTGGTAACCGTAGTGGACCTCCTTGCATAACACCAGGTTGAGTGTCGGGGGTATCCTAACAAAATGACCGATTAATATCACAGGCAAATGTTAATTTGGAAATGAATTATAATAGTGTATAGTGTATTAAAACACTGTTATTTTGATACTAAATATGTCATATTGGTAGACATGAAGTAAACGTAGTGATACTTTTAATTGAAAAAAATAAAACTAACATTGTCAACTTGCCATTATATAGTTACAATGGTAGTCTATATTTTAAACTTCTTTAAAAACTTCCTATATATGTATTCTGTCTACAGAATAATTTTTATGTAATATCAAAACCGGTAATGTACTTTTTTAGCATGCCAAACATGATCAGTGCCCAATTTCACATAACCTTGAAGATTTGACTATTAATGTTTGTTATGATAAATACCGATACATTTTCTGCTTTAGAATCATACTAAAACACTTTATTATGTTAGGCATGTTTTCAAGTTATGTGCAGCATTAATAACTCATGAATATGTATTCTGTCATAGTAATTTTTCCTCTGGAGAACTACTTTAGGTTTGAGATTGTGTTATAGACAAAGCTATGCAATTATCTAAAAATAAATAAAATAATCTTAATAACAAAACTATTATACACTTTATTATACCCCCGCAACGAAGTTAGGGGTGGGGATGGGGGTGGAGGGGGTGGGGGTATATTTGAATCAGCTTGTCAATCCGTCCATCTGTCAACTCATTCTAAAGTAGTGGACCAATTTCAACGAAAGTTTCCAGATATGATAACTGACACCTGAAGTTGTGCATCCAGGTATTATTTTTTCATTCTGACCTTTTTTTACCCTCAAAGTTATGGCCTTCTGTTGAAAAATTCTTGTCCGGCTATGTCCTCCAAAACTAAGGGGTCAATTTCAACGAAAGTTTCCAGATATGGTAACAACCATCTGATGGTGTGCATCCAGGAATTCTTTTTTCAATCTGACCATTGTTTTACGGAGTAATGGCCCTTTGTTGAACAACACTTGTCCAGACAACTCCTCCAAAACTATGGGGCCAATTTCAGTGGAAGTTTACAGATATGGTAACTGCCCCCTGACATTGTGCATCAAAGAAGTATGTTTTCATTCCGACCCTTTAAAAAGGAGTTATGACCTTTTCTTGAAAAAGACTTTGTCTGCCTCTTAAACTTCTGGGCCAATTTCATGGGTGGATTAATTTGCAATGCTTTGCCTTAGTTAGCCTTTAGATTACAGTTCTGGTTTATATAGGAGCGGAGGTTTTAGTTAATCTTTGGCTTACAGTTTCAGTTATTTATTTTTTTAGCCTTTTGACCATTCATTTAACAAAATATGAAGGGATATTACACTATTTTATATCGTTAACTCTAAACAAATAAAGCAAGGAAAGATACCCTTGTCTGACTCCCCATACAAAAAAATTATTTCGGCACATTTGGTTTTTGTGACCTTGAACAAAGGTCAAGGTCATCAAAATTAACAACACTTCAACTCATATAGATGAACAACCTTCTTACCAAATATCAACACCCAATGACATTTAGTCATGAAGAAACACAGGTTAAAGGAAATGTGGAAAGAAAGCTATGTTTTTCGTTTTTTGAACCAAAAGTAGTATACAACAAATTTACCGGTTTCAATTTTTTGGAAATTCCTGATATTGAAAGATATTATTGGAAGCCAACTTTTTAACAAGTAAGTAAAATAGACCAGTTTTAGAACTATATGAATCAACGTGTCAAAAATGGAAAATTTCTCATAAGAAATGAAATTTCATACATTTGTCTGCTTAATTCTTAAATAAAAAGAACAATTCTTTATTGAAATAGTGTAATATTCGGTATCAAAATAACAGGTGAAATACGTTGAACACGATGATGATATAATTTGATAGAAATTGTTCCATTTAAATGCTCTAGGAGGAATTGTATTACTGCACCTTTAACACCCACACAGGTGTAAGTCAATGAGGCCCCATTCATCATCAAATGAATTCTGAAACTAACTGTTCCTGATTTAAGCTTCCTATACCCATACCTTTTTGGATTTATCTTGTTTTGAAATTCCAAGTGGGGGCCGACGTTAATGTTAAATCTCCATAGGCGTTGACCCTACCTTTATAAAGATGTATCTTAATGACGAGGATTGTATTATTTTTCGACTCTGCCATAGTTCTTATTTCCTTTAGGAGTTCTAAATAATCGAACTCTTTGTTCTGCTTGGGAACTTATATATAAATTGTCTAGCATTTGAATTTTCTAGCCTTTGAATACAGCTTTGTTGCTAATATTTTTCTTAACAAACCTTCCAATTGATTTATTTTCTACCGTTTCATTACGAAAACCGAATCGTTTAAATTAGCATCTTTTGTTTCAGTCTGAAATACTGATGGTTCTCGATAGTGAAAAGGTACAAAAGGGATGCTAGCAATACATTCTTGGCTGGGGAAGGTGAAGATAGAACTATGACTATTCTGGACTGATCTATTATCAAAAATGTGATTGTGTCAACTTATGAACAAAGGAATGAGTTACATAGAGACCCCTGACAATGGACAAGGAGGATAAGACCAGGTGTGAATGAGTCATAAATAAACGAAAGCATTGTTAGAATGTCGAAAATTGAATAAGATACCCCCTACCGCAGGAATGGGCGTTACCACAGGAATGGGCGTTTCTAGAACATTATTTCCCCAGGAGGACAACACGTGTCGCTAATTAGGAAAATCGTCTGATTAAATTTCAGCAGAGAGGCTCGTGTATCGTTAAAATCATATTTGCACGTGTGCCAAACTATCTCCCGGTTTCAGAATACTGTTGCTCTGACTTGGCCAGAAACGACCTTTCTCCGCATAGAAAAATATGTAATAGTTGATAAAAGGGATCATGTATTGAATTATCTTATAGATTAAGTCGGTAGACCGATTTAATTATTATTAGTAGGGAACACTCTTGTATGCGTGAAATGAGAAACGTGTATTTGTACGTTCATAAGCAAAATTCTAGTCACAGTCGATCTCAAACGATGGTTAAAATCTCTCCAATCACGCGCATCCAACCATTTGCGTACGTGAGAAACAGTGCAAGATACATATTTCGTCTAGAAGGCTGCCATTTTGGATTTAAGTTTTGTTTTAATATCGTCAGTAGGATAACAAAAAATGTGAATATCACTGGTTACAAAAATATATTTTTCCAGAGTATCTTTCCTTTTCTTTCCAATTCTAACCATCGTTGAAGTTACTTAGATCTTATAAGTAGGCCATACCGATAAATAAAACTCGTATATAGCAGAAACAGTTTATTTAACGTTTGTTCTTGTATATTTGTTGATGAAAGATCTTGATCGTTCGGCTGTAGGTAACGTCTTTTTCATGTTAGATTTCTGTAAACACGCTCGATATCAAGGTTATTCTATTGCGTATTCCAACGTTGGTGTTTTCATCAGAACATAAATACAGGATTAATCACTGCAGCATCCATTGGCAAAACCTCTCTACATAAAAAACTGAAAACTGTCCTCCAGGTTGGTCAATATGGGCTATACTATTGACGTTTAAGTAATACAATACTGTGCGGTATGTACGGTATGTATTTAACTCGTAACATTACGGTAGCTAGCGCGATACATGCTTTGTCGGATCTATTAGACAAAGGAAGAGACAAACGTATGTATACTTAAGTTGTATCAGGGTATCAAGAACGCCTCATCGATTTTGTACACTATCACTCATTTACAGCCAATTGTAAAAGCTATATAGAAATCTATCTTATTGACAACCTGGCAACTCGAGATACCGAAATATATGTGGCTTAAATGAACAACGCAAGTTTAGAAATATTTTTCGTTCCATTACTCATAAAAATTAATAGGTAAACGTAGGTTTTATAAATTAAGTAATTTGATTTATAAATAAAATAATAATTAAATACAAAGTAAATTTAATTCCATTTATAGTGTGGATTTGCATATGTTATGTAGAACTATTTTTATAGGTGGAAGGACTTCTTGCTTTTGCCTCTGCATCTATTAATTAAAACATACCGTGACCGGTTTACTGCTTTACAGGCAAGAACACATGTCACGTGACAGGCGATAGCGTCACTTGAACAAATTTTGTCAGAGGCCAAAGGTAAGAAGTTTCGATCATTTTTTATTGTCGACATAGTTCAGTGATTTTGTTGTCCTTCCGGGGCACAGTGCGTATGGTATGGCGGTTAAGCTATCCGTGTTAGGTCATAGCTATATCAGACGATTGAAAGATGATGTTTCTAGGCCCAGGAACGGCTGGGAAAATCTTAACTTAAGCGAGTCTGAAGTGGTGGTCAAGTTTATGGGAAAAGGTGGCGGGAAAGTGAGCGACTTAACTTCCCTTGATTTCTCTTCCCATTTGACGTTGGAGCGACCTGATGCGGTGCTACTGCAAATTGGGGGAAATGACGTTGATTGTTTTGATTCCGATCCCTTAAAGATCGCGAGTAATATTGTGGCCGTCGCTGAGTGGATGGTGTTCGG